CAGATTTTATGTTGCGACGTCAGATTCACCGGTACATCCAACATGGCCGACCGGCTGATTGTTTACGTGACGGAGAACAGAGTGCTATTTGATAAAAAACGCAAACATTACAAAGATAACGACCTGAAGGACAACTTGTGGAGAGTCAAAGCGTTGGATTTCTCATATGACGATGGTTTGTGTGCTTTAACAGTTTGATAAACGTTTTTGTTTTAACTTTCATCTGTGCTAAGTAACTTTAGCTTGTAAGCTAACCTGTTCAGATACAACATACCATTTGTATTTTCACTGTCTCAAACTCAATCACAGCGTTGCTGTCACAGCACCATTAAGTCTCAGTTGTTACCTTATGTTTCTGTATTATAGTTTAATGTGCTTATCTGGTACTGGCCCCGACTCAGTACATGCTATCATGACAGACAGACATCTCAACACTAGTGTCTAATCAGAACTGAAAAACACTCAGTCTGCTGTTGTGTCAGTCTTCTATGGTTGCAACTCAAAACTTACCAAGTGTTTCAGACACATTTCCATCAAAAATACTCAGATTACATGAGACAAAAGCTAGATTAGCTGAATTGTATTGAGCTCAGTATTTGATATTCCTCATAAATTACCACACAGTCCTCCTAACATTAACTTTTCAATGATTTTATTCAATGTTATTTGTTTTTTATTTACTTGTGGCAGCTAATATCTTTAACACTTGTGTTTGTCTGCTGTTGGTGCAACAAAAAAAAAAATAAGTTTTTGTTTGTCTTTGTGTCTTTTGAAGATCCTCATCCCTCGTAATGAGAAATACAATCTGCCAACGAGGTAAGAATAATTTTCTTTCCAAGTTTCTTCAGATGTGTTTGTTGTTTTTTTTTCCAAGAAAATTGACAAATAATTATTTTTGCTCCACTGTCAGATTTGTTTTTTTGTTACAAGAAATTCAGTTTGGGTTTGTATTGTCCTTTTTAAATATTATTATTATCGTCAACATGAAATATCGTATCAGCAGCTCTAATTTTGATTACGATTAATTTAGCAGTGAAAAAAAAGCTACAACAGGTGTGTGCTGTCATTAAACATAACCTGGAATTGAAGTCTGCTTTGTGGATTAAACTGAGCGGTATAAACTGAATTAAGATTATGGGCGTGATTGGAAATTTATACCGCGGTCTCCTGCTGAAATATACTGTACATGGTGGTTCCTGGAGTGAGAGTAACAGCTGCAGACCCAGACCTCCACTCTCCAGGACCGTCACAACTGAACTGTATTAAAAATCATAATATATATTATATAAAAGCATGCACACACACTTATAAAATTCAGTTTCAAAGCTTCACATTTCTCAGCTGACAATAAAGTTGTAAAGAATTCATCTGTGAGCACATTCAGCCGTACTCGGATCTCCAGAGACGACCGTGAGAAAGTGGTTTTGTGGTTTGGCTGTGGACCCCCGTGTCTGCTGTGTCTGTGGCTGCCAGTCAACCAGAACTCGAATCTAACGGCAGATACAATCCCTCGCATCGCAGCCCTTTGTCTCCTCACGCACTCCGATAATAATTTATCTCCACTTTTTATCCGACTCTTTTTTAACCCCGGCAGGGACTGTGGGTGTTTACTTATCAGATTATGGATTTTAGCCTCCTCTCTCTTTTCAAAATCTCATGTTTGGAGAAGCAGGGCACCTTCAGGCAGAGGCGCACACACATACACACTTACAAACACACATCCCTGCTGTGTGTGAGTCCACTCTATTCACCTGGCAGTAGAGACAGCAGGTGATAGCAGACCACATGTACAGGTACACATACAAACACACAGACTCACTCTGGGGTTTGTTTTGATAGTGCTGGAGGTGTCTGGGCTTCACTGGAGACATGTCGGCCGTGGGAAAGCTGTCTCTCCATCAGATGGGAGCTCAGTGTCACCACTGCTCTTGTCTGTAATCTCCTGTTTTGTCTCAGAGCTGGAGACTTTCTCAGGTAGGACAGAGCACACCTGAGATTAGGATTTACCAAAAAAATATGTGTGATGGAAACAAAAGAGGAGAAACAGTTAAAGTTTTGAAGCTGCTCTTAGATTTATCACCGCCTCTAAAAAAAGGAAAAGGGTTGTTGGTGATGCCTTGCGTCAATTATGGCCGCTTCTTCCGGTATTTTCAATAGCAACTGGACGCTAATCATGATTATTAGAGTGATCAAGGACAACAAAAAAATGTGGGAACATCACTGTCACAACTTAAACAGGACAACGTTATCATTTTGTTGCCCTCTTCTATCGTGGAGTGGGAGGAAGATGTAAAGAAATGGCGTCAAATAGAATATACTAGCATATTTAGCTACTTTGATAACTTGTTTGCATTGACGAAAAGACGTGATGTTGAAGAGCTAAACATAAGTCTTAGATGCCTAAAATGTGACGAGATGAATGTGCGTTTACGTTGACGAAAATGTGACGAGATGAAAACGTTAGTGGTGGATGACGAACAGAGTTGCAAAATTCATGAGCATTTCGTCAGTCAAACGCTAAACATATATTCTCGCAGACACAAAACAATGAGCTCAGAGAGAATTCAGTCACATTTAATATTTAACCTTCTGAGAATTTAGTCTGAATTTAGCCTGAAAGAAGAATAACAGGAGGGAGAGGAGTGTGTGTGTGTGAGAAAGACAGAGAGATAGAGAGAGAGAGAGTGTGTGTGTGTGTGTGTCAGCGTTGTTTTCGTTTATGATAATTTTTGTTGTTTGTTGTTGTTTTCGTTGACGATGAGATGAAATATTTTCGTCATCGTCAACGTCAGTTACATGTTAAGTCAATGCGAAGACGCGATTAGTCGCTCCTACTACTCTGGTGGCGCGAATGACATGAATTGGGCGGGAGCTGAAAATGTCTCAACTTGAGATGATATTTGCTTCGCGATAAGGTTGCCGGTAGATGTATGAAAACTGACTTTGATTGGCAGGGATCACCGTTGAAATTACCGTTGATGCGTGAATGAAGCGAGTAAATACTATTCATTCGTGTGAATTAGGCGAGTAGATGTTTTTATGCACGCTTGGTGTGAGCGCCCATTAGTATCGCTGTTCATTTCAACTAGTTTAATAACCAATCACAAACTACTCACAGGAGCTTTATACTTTTGCTCTTTTATCCCGCAAAGCCGTGATTGTAGAGTTCGTATGTCTAAAACGACACATTAACGGAAAATGTACGTCTTTCTGAAAATCCTGATCCAGTGTCAGTTATCAAACACAACTTTATGTTGAAAAAGAGAAAAAACTCCTCCTGTTAGCTTACTTACTCCTGCCAAACACTTCCAGTTCTCAACACAGACACTTCACAATAAACTGAGTATAGAGTTAGTTCAGGCAAGTCAGGAAAGTCATCATCTGATTCTAACACCAACCCATATCACCTTAACCCACCTCCTTTTTATGCTTTATCCATGTTTTAACACTGTCACATAAAGTCGGTCTTCTGATAAGGTTTTTGCTGCTGCTTCTCTCCTTTTTATAAATGCATTCAAACAAAGTGACACAAGTGATGTGGAGAGAAAAACAGTTATAAAGAGTCGATGAGTGATGGATGATAAAAAAAATGTCATGCTAATGTGGATCTGGGTGTGTTTCTGCCTCAGCTCTGAGCTTCTGACAGCAAACTTCAGCAAAAACCAAGAATTTCAGTTCAGTCAGTGAAAATTTCATCTGCCAAATATCATTCAAATGGGATCAAACAAAAACCCTGCTGCGCTAAAATGTGCAATTACCCACACAGGCCTAGAATAAACCCCCTGTCACTCCGTTTTCTCATTCACTCTAACAAACTTTACCCACAGAGTCTCGTGTTTTTTTTTTACCTCCGCTCAGTTTGTGCCTGTTTGCCCGTACGCTCATCAACCTGACAGAGTGTAAAACACAGGGTGCCACAATTTCAGGGTGCCAATCACAGAGCTGGATGGTCTCCATTTGGACTGCCAGTCAGACTATCAATTTCAAGTCAGGAGGCATGAGCGGCGGCATCACTCCCTCCAAAGTCAGGGGGGAAATCCTTTATTTATTATTTGACAAGTAAAACTTTGATACAGGAGTTGGCTGGAGTCACTTGGTTGTCCACTAAAATTACTCGAGACAGTCGTCATGAGCTCAGTTTGCTTTGTTTTCATCTAAAGACCAGTTTTCATGTTTCTAACGATCGTTTTCTCAAAGGTTCACGACCTGACTGAGGGCAGAGTCCAAACTTTCTTAAGCTTATTGTTTTAACTTCATTTTGCCATAACTTTACAGCAGGTGGAACATTAAACACAACAATCTGCCTAAAGACATAAAAACAAATATTGGACAGTGTGAACGGAGAACTGCAGTATGGTTTGACAGGGAAGTATTTACACCGTAAGTACATGAATCGTATTTCTGACACAAATGTTTCACTTGGACTATTTTCAGCCAAATTTACTTGGAGAGTCCAGAAAAAGGTATTTTTTTACAGATATAACATGGCACAAAAATCTGCGAATTGTTAGTAGTGAGTAAAAAATATTGCCAATGAAATAAAACTTTCTTAAAAAATCAACTTAATGTTTAACATCACTCGGCTCCCAAAGTGTGTCGTGCTTTGTTCTTACCCTACATGGACTCTCCTTTAGGTCAACAAGATGCAAGCAGAATGTTTGGAAACGTGGACGGCTATATATACTTGAACAGTCTCAGACCGCTCTTTGTTACACTTGTGGCATGATGAAGCTGTAACCCAGATCTGCAACCAGTAAAGCTTTTAAAAATGATCATTCGTGTGGACCTTCCATTGTTTAAAGTGTGAACATGGGCGAGGCATCCTTACACACTGTCAACAGAGATAAGATAGAAACGCTTGATAAAACTTGATTTTTTGCAGCTAACACTTTGTGGTGTGGTCTCTTTAAATGTGGGCGGGGTTTATCGACCTTCTCTCCTCAGGTGAGTAGTTGTTAAATTTGAAAAACTCCCAACACTAGGTGGCAGTAATTGGTGTTGGATGCCAGGTGATGTAAAACAAGAAGAAGAAGAAGAAATTGTGGAAGTGGAAGTGGAGTCTCTTTGCCTGTCTCCCAGGGATCCAGCCTTTCAGTAAGTTTCCTGTTTGCTCTCAAACAAGCAGGTTTATTTGACCTTTTCAAAGCACCTGAGTCAAAGTTTTATCAGATATAACCTGACAACACTGCCTCACATCAGTCCTGACTGTTGTATCTGTCCCTAGTTGTTGTGAAGAAAGAGGCAAATGTAAGCAGGAACATAAACTGTGTCCCTCAGTGTGTCTCACTGTGTGTCCAGGATTGAGGTATAAATCGAACAGGTATCCAGCCCGTATTGACTTGTAACCTCAGGTGTGTCCAGAAACACTTGTCTTGTGCAGCATTGAAGGGGCTTATAATCTAATTTTTCCACATATTTGCCTCCTGACTGCAGTAGCTTGTCTTCATTAGCAGCGATGGCCTGGAGTGAGCGTGTCAGGTTGATGGCTTTTCTCTGCCTCGCCCGCTAGCACGAGCGAGTGATTAGCTCATTGTTAGCTGGCTAAGTGGTGGCATGACAGGACACCCCTGGGTTTGTGTGTGTTTATTCCTGGTTGAGAGAGCCGCTGTGTGTGTGTGTGTGTGTTTGTGTGTATATGAAGATGAAAGTCTTTTTGAATGCTGGAAAATGTTTGCCCAGGCTGACCCGCACCCCATCGATTTACTGAAGAAATTGTGTTTTCGCTCTCCGCCCCAGTGCCTCGGTTATCAGCTGCCTCAGTAATGTACATGTTTGGCCTTCTGAAGACAGCACAATCCGGAGTTCATAACACACGCAGGGTTGCACGTACAAACCTGTGCGGAGTACACTCATGCATTAGCAAACTTGGAAACACTCATCTGTTTTTATTAGTGCTCCAGATGGGGCTTCTGGTGGCCATGGACAAAGAGTATATTGCTATATTTGTTAGGAGTGTTCAGCGCAGGAATGCCAAACACACTGTCAGACTGAACTGCAACATATTGGGCTGAAAAATGAAGCCAGAGAGACATAGACAAAACTGCAGTTCCCTGAGCCACCACTAGAGGCTGCCTGCAAATGTGAATCGATCCTCATGAAGGCTCATGTTAAAAAAAATAGCTTTAAAGGCCGGGCCTTGTATCTGCTGAGGAAACCAGGCCTTTACAGGAAGTAGGCTTGATTTGGACGTGGCCTTTTACATCAGATTCCAGGGCTCGACACTAACTTTTTTCACAAGGAGTTGAAAAAGTCAGGAACACACAAAGAACTTTAAGGGGCACAATGAAAATTGATCATATAAAGTGTGTCTCATTGGTCAATATAAGTACTATTATTTGAAATCAATTTTAGGTCTTTTGGTCACATGACATGGAAGCTATTGAAGAAAATGTTCAAAATTTGCCTTTAAATTTAACACAAACATTTTCAGAGGACAAATTAGGGAAATAAAGAGGTGTGTCTTATTGGTCGACATAAGTATTATTATTTGAAATCAATTTTAGGTCAATTGGTCACATGACATGGAAGCTATTGGGAGAAAACAGCTTTTTTTTTGAGAACATAAACTTCTGATTTATTGATGGTCCCTTATTCAACACCGATGTTGACAGCGAGGGTGCCGAGTAGATTTATCCGCACTACTATTGTGGTTATGGACCGGTTATGGACAGTGAGAAGACACTGGTAGATCCGCAGTGAATGCCCGTTGGATAGCCAACCTAAAACTAACTTCACTGCGGTATTTACATGAAAAAGCATTTGTTGCCTTGGCTAATTTTTTTATTGGACACATGTGCCCCTAAATACATTTCACAATTCATACACATCTATTTTTTTGTCGCAAATGCGAGTGAAACGGTCGCACTGTCAAGCCCTGTATTCTCTTTAAAATTGTTCATATTCTGGTAGAAAGTGGACCCTGATTCATAAAAGGATGGCCTGGCTTTTGTGCCCACTCGACATATACAGATGTGCTAGAGGTCCACTTTTGAATTTCATGACTAAGAACTTAATATTTCTCAAAAACTAAAACTACTTTTTTCTTCTCCTATAAAGTAAAAGTCTTGAGTCATTCCTCATTAAATATTAACTTCTTCTTTTGCTAAATTATGTATATGAAGGTGCGAAAAACTCAAGTGCATCGAATAAAACATTCATTTGTTGTTTATCTTGAATTATGCATAGGGAGGGTTATTTCAGAGTTTTCCTGTAATGAACTAATCACTGTTTCACACTCACCGTCTGATCCTCAGTGACTCACAAACAAACCAAATGCATTTTGTCTTCTCTGAAAAGTTAAAGTGGATTTGATGGCGTTTGGAGGTATACGGTCACAGATTGAAAACCCCACAGCAGCCATGTTTCTTCTTCTTCTTCTTCTTCTGGGTTTTTTTTTGTGTTTTTTTTCACCCCTCAAGTTAAAGAAAAGCAAGAAAACAGAGAGAGGTGAAACTTGAATCATTAGTGTAGTTAATGGTTAAAAACTCCAAAGAGTACTTTATAATTTCAAACAGACTCACTTTAGACTAATTACAGAACAAAAGATTAATGGTTACTCAACTGACAGCGAACCACTTCAGCCCGCTGCCGTCATCGTTCTGTTTCCCCATGGTTAATAATAAATCTAACGTCAGCAGTAGCACAGCAAACATTTTTATTACCTGCAGCTGTTTTTGTCTCACATGTAATCACTCATCTTTTCTCCCTGAGTACCTGTTGCTACTGTCCCGCCGCTTGTTTGATAACCTGCTTTGCTGCAAAAGTCTTGTTTGATTTCTCTTTCTGCTTTCACTGCCGTCAAATGACCCATTTTTCATCCCATGCCGGTCGCCTGTAGTCAGAATCAAAACACTTTGCTGTTTCTCAAATCTCAAATGTGTCCAGAAGAATATTTTACTCATGCAGCTTGAAGCAACTTGAAGAGAATATATATTTTTTTGCAGTTATCAACTGGACAAAGGAAGAATAATGTGGAGTAGAAAGTTTATGAAACCCAATGTCATGGGAGTGTAATTTGGAAAGCGTTGCAGGCAAATCCAACCTTTAATTGGTTTGGGGTAATTTAATTCAAATTAATTTGCATCAGAAGGAAAGCCTCTTATTCAGACGGCGAAAAACACTTTACAAGGCTTTATGATGATTTTATTGGTTGTCTGTGCAGGCCTGTGGTCTAACAGCTCAATAAAGTCTTATCGCGACATAAAGCAATGCTTTATCTTTAATGATTTCACATTATTTTTTAATGTGCTTCTTTTCATTGCCACTCAACAGAATCGATCACGTCAGGCCTTAAACAGCAGTCCTCCCCTCCTCTCCTGAAAAAATCCTTTCAAACCGTAATTGGGAAAACATCAGTGAGTGTAGCTCTAAACAGTTAGATGAGCCATGAATCTCTGTCCGTGCATTCGTTAGTTCAAATCGCTCCAGTAATAACTGGCTTTGCTACCCAATTATCGAGCGTCTTCCCAAGCAAAGATTATTTTGTTATTTACAGCATTAAGTCCAAGAAGCAGACTTTTATTTCAGAAAAAGGCAGAAGAAAATGTTGGCAGTCAAAAGGAGGAAGACATGAGGATGAAATTCTTGATCTTTACTATAAAACTGTTGGTGGGTCTGATGGTTGGCAGTGAAATCCTCATTAACGAACCTGAAATTACAGCCAAATGTTGGACTTGCTCTTTAAACGGGGCTGACAGGGTTTGCTCTTGCAAAATTAACATTTTAAGTACAAAGATATAATGTGACAATTAAGACCTTTCTTTTAATTTTCAACTTGACGTCTTTGTACTTTTTAACAACTTGTCCACAGTCGGTTCGAGAGGGGGAACCATTATTTCAGAGCTTTCACCGTCACTGCTGGATTTTAATGAGAGTGGGTGTCTAATGTTGGGTTCCATTTGAATTAGAAGCGATTATAGCGGGAGTCAGAGTGGAGATTTATGCATCACTTAATCAAAAAGAGAGAATTTTTAACAGAAGATACACAGAAAAACTGTTCTGAGTAACCGTTACAGGTCAGTTTTTTAACTGGCTAAACTAATACAAGAGTCTTTTATCCATCATGAGCCGGGGAGTAAATAAGTTATATGTAATATTGTTGATTTATTGAATAATTTATCTAAAGATTCTGCTGTATGATGGTAGGAAGGTTTAAATTTACTCAGTCAAAACCACAGTGTGGCTGATGTCTTAAAGCTCCTGTGAGAATTTTTTTTGTGCCAGTGAAATACAATGAAATTTATATGAATACTTCTTTAAGCTACGAAAGAGAAGACAACACCAATACTGACAAGAGTGATGATTTTTATTTGCTAGTTTTGATGCCTGAAACTGGTACGAGAGGGTAAGTGTCCACCAAGCAGCTGAAGAAACAGCCGTTTCTATAGTTTTCACATAAAGACATTCATGATATATTATCCATTTTGACAGTCAAAGATCAGCAGGATGAGATATTTTTGGCAGAGGAAACTACTGAAGAATGTAGAGGACAAGAAGAGTGAGACAACTTTGTCCACAGGGGGCGCCAAAATTGACACAAGCTAAAAGTTACTAACAGGAGCTTGAATATTAGCTGGGTTAGCTTAGTTGTTTTTCTTCTACTCAGCAGTATAAATCTTTTTTCTGAAACTCAATTATCATATTAAATAGAATACAATTATTTTGAGGGTGGGTAAAGTTATGACAAGTGGAACTAAAATGACTCACTGATTGATTTTCAATGGAAAATCACAGATGTGACCGAGTCAGAGTTGATAAGTGTTGTATACATATTCCTGAAAGAGACCCTTGCTAGCAAAGACTGTTTTCATGTAGCTGTGGTTTGCAGTAGGTCATAGTCTTTGTCCTGAGTTAGTTAAATCAAGATCCTGAGTGTTGATTCCTGAAAGGGTTAAACAGGACTGACAACTTTTTGTTAAAACATTACTGACACCAAGAATCTTAAGTACTTACTGTGAAATCAGGAGAATAAAGGTTCACAATGTGCAGTTTCGGTGCAGCTGTGTAGCTCTTTGCTGTACCGTCTTCTTTCTTTGCAATCCTTGAACTTGAGCTCAACCTGTGCTAACGTTGACAAGGGTGAGGTTCAGATCCACTGCCTCAGCAAGATACACACAAACACCCTCTGCTGGTCATGCGGGTCATCTGTAGACCCACAAACTCTGCAGTGCATTGGCTGCACTGGTTTACAGGACAAAGACAACTTTTTACATGTAAAATATGTGTCATATTTGATAAATACTTTTATAATACTTCTATTAATCAATTTGATCAACAAATTACTAAAAAAAAAACACCTTAACACAGTCCGATAAATGATAAAAATGTCCTCTTGTAGTTTATCAGTTTCCAAAAACATCTGATGTATCAAACCAAATAAATAAATATTTGTAAAATTTTAAGGACATTTTAAAACTCCAAAAAACTTGAATTTTCTGGCCATTATTTGTGGTTTTGGGCATTATAGGGTTAAATGTACTTCAAGTGTGTCTTATTCACCAAATTTTGCAGTATTAGACAAATAAAAATCTGGATTAGAATGAGCTTAAAGTTGATCATCTTCAGCTCATCTTTTTTTCTTTTTAACCGCAAACTGAGGTTTTCTTACCCTCAGGTCAGCGGCCCCCTCTCTGGTGTTTACCACCCTGTGTGTTTGCATCATTAACCCTCTGTAGCTGTGGGACGAACCGCACAATCCCAAGTGTCCATGGCTCAGATCTAATCAATAGGAGGGTTGTCGGGAGAGAGCGTCAGGGTCAGCACTTGTGTCAAATTCCTGGTCAAAGTGGCCACTTTGTTTGGGAAAAAGATCTGGTTTTGTCACGGCTTGGCAGTCATTCATTCCACTTGGAGTGAAAGGAGCTGAAGATGGATGAACGCCTCAAAGCATCCCGCTGCGTCCAAGATTTTAGTTTTCATTTCTGCTCAAATTGACCATGTATCTGTTTGTTCCTATCTCTCAAGCCTTTTGGACTTGGTCATATCCATTTAATCCAACTCACAATTTCTCTGGTCATCAATCAGGGAGAAATGCATTTGCTCCAAGTCCTGGGGAGCAGTTTGGACATTAGAGATTTTTATCTCGCTGTGATTTGAGACGCTGAAAGTGAAGAGGTACACTTCATCACTCTTGATGCTGAGTGATAGTGAAAGACTTGGATCGAGTCATGACGTGCAGGGATGATAAATTTGACAGGCCATCAATTAGGAAACCTGATACAGTCCATATATAACTTGACAAGAGGGTTTAAGGGTTTGAATGTGTAGTCGGACTACACAAGTGTGAACCAGCACAGATAAAATGAGGTGTGAAAAGGAAAAGGTCACATTAACTATCAGGTTTCTTTGTGCATTTTTAGCAAGATTTGGTGACTCACACAAGCCTTCATGTAACATTATCCAGCACACACAAAAAGTTTAAGGCTGTTTGAAATGATTCAGAAATATGAGATGTCGCTGTTGCATGCTGCAAACAAAAGCCTCATCTTCATTAGTCACAAGTTATTAAGATTTTGTTAACATGCACTGAAAGGAAATCGCCGCCTTGTCCTTGCTGTGTAAAGTGCTGGGTTTGTTCAATCTCACTCTAGACGATAAAGAAACACACCTTCATCTGTGTCAGTGTTTTATTTTGCAGGTTGAGAGCTCAGACCTAGATTGCAGCTCCAGTTTTCTCTCGCTGTCTTGTGTTGACAGTCCGGCTAAATGTCACATCTGTCAGCGGCTACCACTTTACCCCAAGCGACAAAAGAGGGGTCAGATTGCTGCCGCGGTTCACTGTTTGCAAGGAACCAGGAGAGACTTTACACAATACGACATTTGTGTTTTGGCTTAACACACATTTAACCCTGTATGACTTTGTCAAGTGTAAAGCTCCTGCTAATGTGTGTCTTTGGTGTCTTGTATTTCAGCCCTCACTTTTTTTTTTAACTCTGCATACCTCTCGTACTCACACTTTCAAATATGGTCAAGATGCCAATAAAAGCTGTCTAAAACTGGAGAAGTTAGAGGGCTCTAATGGACAGGAAATTTGAGTTATTAAACTTCACTTTAAGGTACGCTCAGAAATTTGGAGCATGTTTACCGTTGTGTTGCATCACCTCTTATTTTTAACAACTTGCTGTAAATGTTTGGGAACCAAGGAGACCAGTTTCTGATGTTTTCAGAGTGAACTTGATGTGTATAGTCTAGTATTACTGAGGCACTTCTGCATCCTCACATCAGGATTGATGCTGGCTTTTGAGCTGAGCAATGGGAACAGGAAACCAGGTGGTCCCTGGGACAGAGCGTCCATGATTTCCAAAAAGAATATCAAAGTTTTTACCTCTTTGACTCAGTCCAGCTCACATGTACTCAGGCCCAGAGAAGGTGTCAGCGTTTCTTGATCATGTCGTTGTGTTTTACCCTTTGTATGGTTCTGTTTTAACCTGCACTGGTAGATGCAGTGGGATTTCCACTACAGAGTCATGTTTGTTTTTAATGTCTGAAGGTCAGAAGACCCTCCTTTTTTTTCATGTCTAAGATTTTTTTTCACACCATGAGTGCTCAGACTAGGTTCACTTCCAGCGCAAAGCTCCCTTTCTCCCCTCTGTCTCCATTTCCTGTCCCATCTACTATCCTGTCCTCTCCAAATGAAAGCAAGACCTCTATAGGTCTGGGTTTCACAAGATTCTCACTGATTTTTGTTCACAGGTATTTAGATCTGTAGGTGATAACGTCCTCAATCTTTTTGCAGTTTTTCAGTGAGCAACATTGCTCTAAAACTACTTCCTCACACAGTCTCTTAGTGGTAAATTTCTCGTATTCTCCAAAGTCAGGAATCCAGATGTTACACAAGTAAAAGCTCCTGTGAGGAACTTTCAGTTTGCAATAGTTTTGACACAAAGAAGCCTCTGCTCATCTTGTCCTCTAAATGCCTAAACACTGTTGAAAACTTTTGATGGTCAAATGCGTCATTTACTGTGAATGTTTAATGTGGAAAATGTAAAAATTTGTCTGTTTCTTCACCTGCTTGTCTGACACCTATTAAAACGCATTAGAAAAGAATATAAAAGAAATGTTAATCTTGTCCCATATGGGGTTGTTTGCTTTTAAATAGCATGAAAAAGCATAAACATGAATTTTAATCTATTTCAAAAACATAAAAAAAACTCCATATAAGAGCTTTAAACTGTTGAAAGAATGAAAATAAGCATTCCATACAGACTTGATACCGATTTCTGATCGATTACTTAGTTTTTAGGCACATTGACTAAGAAGTAATGACTGAAACTAGGCGAAAACTTTTAAGAGCAAAAATGATCAAACTGTGAATTCAGCTAAAAGGCATTTTTATCTTTACACTAAGACCAAAGCTGACGGTATGACCTCTGTCTGCTTAGATGAATAAAACTTGCATGAAGAAAAAAATAAAGAAGTTTCATTGTAGGTTTTTTTTTTTACTTGATCATAGTTTTTTGATATTTCGCTATTTTTTTCTATATATGATCATGTCCACAGATGAGTACAGCATGTAAATCCTCTGGTTTGGCTGATTCTTCTTTCTTCTGAATTTACAAAAGTTGCTAAAAGTTACTTCAAATGTATCTGGAGATGAAGAATAGGCCAACATGTAAATGAGGGGAGGTTTTAATTATGTATAGTCAGAGACGAAATGGTAATGCTTTTCACACGCTTGCCTCACTGTCGTCTCTTTACTATTACAGGACAGGAGAAATATTGTTACGACGAAGAATCAGATGTTTGAATGACAACTGCTGCTTACCAAGAGGACGGCCCATCAGTCATCCACTGAAAGACTTTCAAGTCCGGTGTCATCATCTCCAGTTTTCAACCATTACATCAGTTCGGAAAGCCGGCCCAGAGTCTGATGTAAGTCTTTTCATTTCCTCGTATTTCTCTCCATCTCCGTCTCTCAACATCAGCCTCATTCTCTGTCATCATACTTTCATTTTCCACCATTCAGACGTCACCTGTCCCAAAATGGTTTTATCCACGATAGCTTGAGGCTGATTGAAAGAAGTAAACAGTTTCTTCTCTGGACTTCAGTCTCACTATTCATTGATAGGAGTGTCTGGCTGTAAGGTGAAAGATGGGAACATCATTCCCTTTTTGATTTGGCCGTGCCTGGAGGAGAGCAGATAGAGATTAATGAGCTTATTAAATCCGAACGGACTCTCAGACAGACAGCTCATTAAAAGCGCGACGTTTGGAGGCCTTCACAATGCAGGTCAGTTCTGAAACTGCCTCTCCAAATGGAGGCTGTCAATCATAGAGAAAGGGAGGACGTTCAAAGAGAAGATTTCACTCGCTTTTCAGCTGTCAGAACCAGAGAGAGACTTTAATGGTCAAATTTGTCAAATATTTGTATTGTCAGGGTAATACTAGATCAATAATGGTGAAATATGTCTCGGTAACTCCTCACTTGCTCGGGGAGGGATGCTGTAGTTCTATTTGAAGCATTTGATAAAAACAAATGGGAGTGTTAAGGTACTTGGCAGCCTTTGAGCAGGTCTAAAAGCCTCTGCTGGGTGTTTTCTGAAAGGGGTTCAAGAAGTCAGACATAAAAGACCTGAACCTTGATGCGCCGGGTAAACTTCAGCTGGACCTGATTGGTTTAAATCTGACAGTTTTTACTGCAAAAAGGTATTGCTAGATAAACACCGTCATAAAAAATAGCGTTAGAAAAGGTAAAGTAAGGTTCTGCAGGAGTCTGAGCTGAGGCAAGAGTCACAACTTTGACTGTTTCTGCAATCCTGCTGTCATGTATGGTTTCAGTTTCTCTGTAGTGATCAGCAACCTAGAGGTGATCTCAGTCTTTTATTAATTAATCCATCTGTTCACGTGACTCAGACCGCGATCACATAAGGTCTTTAATGGCTGATATGCACAAATATTAAACAATGGAAGGACTTTCTGACTTTCTTCATAAATCCATCGATTTGGAGTAGATACTTTAGTAGGAACTCTTTCCTATAACCTATAATACTTACATTGTGCCTGAATATGGTGAAAAAGTATGAATATTGGATTGATTATTAACCCTGAAGAGGCACAAGCTCTAAATTTGTTCATGGATTTGCATTAAATCCTTGAATGAGAGTTTTTTTGGTGTCTAATCATATGCTGCTACAGCTAGCTAGCTAGCATCTGCAGCTACTTCTTTGTGTCTCCTTTGTTGTGTGACTTGTTGTTTAGTATAAGGATCACAACTATGAACTCACAGTGTTACTGTATTCTTATTTTTAGAACAATATCGACATTTTATAATTGTAAAACGACAGCTATCGACAATAATGTGACAGCCTTACACCAAAGCTAATGCTACGTCCTAGTTACCTCGGAGACAGAGCTGGGAATGACGTTACACCCAAGTTGATGATGTTCTGGTAAACAAGTCAGATAACCAAGATAGACGCCCTACTGTTGTAACAATTTGCTGCTGAAAGTTGTTAGCTGTTGTTAGCTGTTGTTAGCTGTTGTTAGGTGTTATTACTTGTTGTTAGCTTTTCCAGTTGAAAACAACGCAAAACCCGGTGGTTTACTTTTATAAACAATACCATGTCCACAGTTAGACGTTGGGCAGTACTACATGTACCACTTGTTTAATTTCACAAATACAAAACTTAAGTGTTTACTGTTGATGCATGGTGCTGCCATCTTGGATTATGACGTTGTGGTCAAGTTGGGGTTGGTGACCCCCAGCTTGACCACAACATGACTTTCAGAGTTGGAAATCCGACTTAAGGTGGGCGTTCCAGATGAATTTCCAACTGGGAACTCAGAAATTCCAACTTCCTAGTAAAACTGGAATGCAGCATAAATTACTGATACCATAACCTCATCATCATGGGGTTTTGACCAATCAGAATCCAGTGCTCAACACAATCAGATGAGAGGTAGGAAAGCCGGATGATAAACACAGAGAAAGCACGTAACAGCATCTTTTCACCTCCTCTTCCATATAAACTTTCTCTTGACTAGTTTTTCCTAAAATCAGATTCAATCAAACAAATTGGAGACATGATGTTCTTTTCCTCTCAAACATGTTTTCTCAAGTATTTCCAAAAGTTAGAAACAGATTTAGGACCTGAGGTTATGGAATTAGATCTAATCTGGACCCAAATGACCATAAAATCTGAACCCTTAACCCTGTAATTCATGTGCGTTTAGAGTCGATCGAGCTGAAGAATTGCAGTTCACAGTAAACTAAATGTTAGGATGAGTTTCTTTAGCCAGTCATGTCAGCCTTTAGAGTGGTGGAGCTGTGTCACTCAAATACCCCAGACACTTTGGTGTTAGATTGCTGGAGCCGGGGGCCTCCTACAACCATCCCTGAGCAAGGAACCCTGTACACATATTTTACATCATACAGGTCCCCAAAATACGTTCTGTCATGATATTTCCTTCTTGGGACCTTCCACATGTTCATCTAAGGCTTTTGAAACATGTTGTCCTTTGTTTTTACCATACATGGATTTCTCTTAGGGTCAACTAAATACCAACAGTATGTTTAGGATTGTGAACCGCTATATATACTTGAATGGTCTTGGACCGCTTTTTGCTACACTTGTGTTGGTCACATTTGTGTCACACTTGGGTCACACTTGTGTTGCACTTGTGTTACACTTGTAACCCAGATATGTAATCAGTAAAGCTTGTCAAAATGACCATTCGTGTGGACCTTCCATTCTTTCTAGTGTGAACCTGGGCTAGGCATCCTTACACTAAAGTTCATCCTCAAGCCTTCAGAGTTTTCGTCGATTCATCCTCGTGTTTTCTTCTTCTTCTTCTGTTCCTGAAGTGTTGTTTTGCCTTTGCGCCTCAGAGCCATGAGAGTTTTTACATCGATTGATCAAGAGCCTCGCTAGTCCTGGAGCTCAACATGTAGATTCACATTTGCTTCACTTCTAACGCCTTCACACGCCCTTCCACATTGATGCGGAGGGCCTTTCTGCGTGACTCCTGGCTTTCAAAAACGCTGGCAGCAACAGTAAAGAGCGCTCCGACTGTCTCATCTCCATCCAGATCCTCTTTCCTTCAACACAAACTTTGAGAGATAAATACTTTCGCTGACATTTGCCGCAGAGTTGACTTATGTGAGTGTGTGGAAAACGGCGGGGAGGATGTTTGTGTGTGACGGTGTTTAAGTGTGAAGTGGAAGGAGAGGTGGAGGGCCGTTCTGTTGGTTAAGCGCTCCCCTGTGCTCTCCCACGGCTGCTGAACTGCTGACTGGCACTTTTCAATACAGAGATGGAGAAGGTGCACAATATATAGCTTCACACAAATACACACTTAGGGTGTACACACACCTGGAGAGCTTACATGGCTTTACATGGAGTGCTGGTTGTCAGCCAGCAGCTTCTGCCAACAACCCATCATCACGCTTTTCACCTGGCAGTGTCTCGACAGTCCATCCTTTTACAGCTCTCCTGTTAAAATGTGCCAGCGTGTGTGTGTCTCTATGTGTGTGTGTGTGTACAGGTGGTAATGTGTACTTCTCTCAAACGGTGGTGTGTCAGAAAATAAAGTGCTGGCAGAGGGTTTGGGTGCAGTGAAGGTAGTCTGTGTGCAGGAGGCCTGATTCCAGCCACATTATGTCTGCTAATGAGCTTCATCTTTAGCTGATTACATTTGTTCCCACAGCAGATCGTCCTGCCAGGGATGCATTAGTGTCATATAAACCTGTATCATGATGACAAGAAGAGAAAAGAGATAAAAGTTAGGCGTGACACTAAAGCCTGGCTAAACTCGTACACTCCTGAGAGGCGGAGAACAGACGACTGTTTTTGGACCCAAGAGTGAGATTATTTTACACCGTTTGAAGCAGGACACACTCGACAAGATTTTGTGCAATATGAGTTATTTGTTATAATGCTCATGCCATACTTTAAGTCCATGAAAAAGTAGTTAGTTTTCATTGTTGTGTTGATATTTGTTTCCATATATAAAGAAGTACAACCAGCAGTCCTCCCTGTCTCTCGCTGTGGAGAAAATTAACTTTATCCTTCATCCTGATAATCTCACGGTGAAGTTTTCCTCAAACTTAATGCTCTGTTTGAACATTAAACTTCCTCCTGCCATTACAGGAGTCACCTTTTTACTGTCTTATTGAACAGAAGTTGAAATTAGGCCAAGTTTCCTCTTATCCAGACTTTCTGACTGGGGTGGCCAAGGTATCTATGCATACATGGATTATTAGCATTTACCCACCCTGTTTTAACTGTCAGATTTGAATTACGTATAATAAGTAAATGTGCATTGGTCAAGCTGCACTCCTGAGTAGGGATGGGGATCGATAAATGGGTGCATTAAACATCTGATAAATACAAAAGAGGGTTAGGGCCACAAATAGGGAAAAAAATAATTACAGGAAGGAGATTAAAGTCAAAATGTCGAGATTAAAAAAATCGAAACTATGTCAAAATCAACATTTTGAGATTAAAGTTAAAATTTCAAGATTAAAGTCGACATAAATAAAGTCGAAATTTTGACTTTAATCTCAAAATTTCAACTTTAATATCAAAATGGAGTTTAAAAAAATCTCCCTTGTGTAATTATTTTTTCTCTTCTTGTGGTCTTAATCCTCTTTTGTAGGTAAAGCATTTTTCAAAACCTATAACTCAAAGAGCTTTTTGAGTCTACTGTCTTTTCTCAAGGGTCCTGTTAAGTAAAGTTACACTTTGAGTTAATTCATGTTGTGTTAATTAAATTAACAGTACATGCACAATAATAGCCTGTTTACTAAAGTGTTTGAACAGGTAACAAGGAGAAGAATTTTAATGGTCGGTTGCAGTTTATCGTTTCTTTTCTGGGATCAGATTAAAGTCCTGCCAGTCCATCTCTGCGTCTGTCACTCCTCACCAGCCAAACACAGAGATCTGGTGACAACTGACACCGACAACCTCCACTTCACACTTAACTCACAAAAACACACACAAACACACACTAAGCTGGAGAGGCCCTCTTAGTCCAGGCATGTGTTCAGCCACGACTGGCCTCTCAGCACAGCACAGACCGGGCGGAGGATTAGCTGTGGAGAGAGAGAGGAGGGAGGGGCATCTGAGGCTCAGTCGCTGGTACATAAAAAGTCTGAGGCTGGCTTCTGTTTGGTGAAAGTGTAATGAATCACTGCAGGAAGGATGATGGAGTTCACAAAAGACCATTCAGGTGGAGTATGAGACTCTCTGAGGACCATGTTGGAGGTTGACTCTCAGATTGAGTTGTATTTTCTGCTCACGGTCATAATTTTAGGTGAAAATTTAAGGGACAAGTTAATCTATTAGTGGTTATCTGCAAGATTAACCAGACGTAAGATGCGTTTACATGGGCACAAATAATCTGAATAAATGCCCAATTGGAATAAAAATGCATCATGTAAACATGTCGATGGGAAAATTCTGATCCAATTCGGCTCAATATTCCGAAACGCGTCCATGTAAACACTTATTCCGATTGTGACTCTCTTACCTGATTCGGTACAGGAGGTTTCATCATTAACACTCTGGCATGAAACACAACCGCAGGAGCCGTGTCTGCTCCTCCAATAACATATCAAGGCGTACATACAGCGTAATGATGTCGCATCTGCATGCACAGAGCAGCCTTTGACAGAACAGTGAAATAAGTAAGCAAGGACGCCATATAGTGACAACATTTAACAGGGGGGAAACTCCTGAATCGGATGGAGTGAGCCACTACCGCGTTTGTTGGTTTGTTGACAGCACAGACGTAAATACAACTCTTCTTCTTCTGTGGTTGTTTTAGCGAAATCAGATGACTTTGCACATGTCCAAATAGGTCTAAACTGAATGAAGCTTAGTGCATGTATAAGCACGTCATGATTGGATGATTTCGCACCCATATAAACATAGAATTCAGATTATCCGATGCCTCAAATATTTAATTGGATCAAGAAATTTTCCCCATGTAAACGTGGCTACAGTCTACATTCAGTTGTAGGTATCTATCCCACAGGTTAGACATAACATATGAGCAGAATTTTGACTAAATACTCCAATACTCTAGTTTTTAAAGTCAAAGTCGTTTTTACACCTAACGTTCTCTCTTTTTTATTCTAAAAAAGTCAGCCCCTGATTTCTGTCCAATCACAGGATCTCTACACTTCCCAGTCAGTGGATGTTTTCCTGGCAGCCAGAATGCCTCCTCGAAAACATGTTTAGCAAACCAAATGAGTAACGTTTGGTGAGAGAGGGTGCTGTGCCGTTTATATCTAGGAACTAGTGCTGTAGGCATCGCGCTGAGATGATTCATCTCTTCGGGTTTTTAAGTGGGAGCCAAGGTGCATCAGAGGCTCCTTTTCTCCGAACTACTGAAAATGAATCTAGGTACTTCCACTGTGGGCTGCTTGTGTATCTATCTTTAGAATCAAGCACATTACATTTTTTTCTGATTCATCGCAGGGAAACTAAATTAGCATTTTTCACATTTCCTGACACCAGCCAAAGCATAAAACACAGGGTGATACCCACACAGTCTTAGAGACACACATACTGAGAGAGTCTGCTCTCCTCCTGCAGCTTGTTTGTGAAATTCAGCGCTCTCGTGCTGCTGCGCGGCGTAAAATCATCACTCACAAGCTGATAGTTTGACTAGATCTGAAGTCTTGATAGCTCAGTTTGGTTCTCGGATGAGCTTTGAAGTTTGAAAATTAATTTATTTTTCCTCTGTAATTCAAACATTTTATTTAAAATTCTTATCTGCAGAGTAACAGCTTGGAGCGAGTTCTGCGACAGCTTGCAGGGTTTGTGTCCTCGGAGGACACATCTGTGTGCGGACCTCTCTTGAGAGCTGAGACACATTCATCGCATCCTCTTTTTGTGCATCTGCGTGTGTGCAAGTTTGTGCCTGCAGAGATGGTGAATGTGAGATTTTGTAGCTAAGCGTCCATATGCATATGAATAACCAGACATTCATATCCAAAACAACGCTTTTGTGCTTTTTTCCTCCCCCAAAAAAAACACTTGGACATGAATAAAATGCCGTTACTCGGTTCACCTTGACTACAAATACACAAATAAAAAAGGCTCATGGGGGCCACTTTATCGTGTCATAGCAAACAGGACACTTTCATTTGCTGAAATACGCGGTGTGATAAAAAGCTGTGATGGAGTTTCACTCTTCTAAAATAAAACCCGTGTTTGCATTGGAATGAAAAACCGAACTTGAAAAAGCAATCTCGCGCGAGGACATAAATCACCGCGCAGTAATTTGCCCCCAAAAGCCAAAAGCCGTGACTCAAAATTGGTGCCACAGGTGATGCGTCTTGTATTACATTGTCTTATTTACATTGTGTTGTACTATTTTGCGGCTGCATTGATTTCAGGTAGCAGTAATGTGTCCAGAGCAAACCTCATCCCTGAGGAACAACAAAGTAAATGTACTGGATCTCCAAAGAACTCCAAGGCAACACAAATTAGAAACAGAAAACCTATTTGGGAGCGCAGCTTACTGGCACATTTCAGGAGAATTGCCTCCATCAGGAGGCTGCCGTCTCTCTCCTCTGAGGGTTTTTCTTTTTTTTTTTCATTTCACTGTCCTAATTTGTCCCATGTGGATTATCATCCGTTCCCTCCTGGCTGCTGTGACGCTCTCCAAAATGACAGATGTGGAGAGCTCAGGCCCAGTTTGTTTCTCTCGAACACACACGCAAACACAACACAGTCATTTCCCATCATTCCTGAGGATATGTTGACTTGCCCAGTTTGAACCTCCAACAGAAACATGACCCCGTCTTAAACTGCGTCTTTTTCCAAACATTTAACAACACCCTTAACACTCTCCCCTCACCTTCAGAACTGGAATCAAATTACATCGAATCAACGTAACTGTGAGTCATATAAAGTACAATAACAAATGAGTATGTGAATAAAAATTGCAGTAGGTATGACATGTATTTTACAGCCTGGCTCTAGCAGAAGCTTTCTAAAGTTACAATATTTTCAATTATTCAAACAAACACAGAAAACTTTCACAGAAGTTGCGAGAAAAAGTTTAAGACTGGCAGATACTCAGCCAAGAAAGGAAAAACTGAATCATGGGCCACCCAACAGATCCGAGCTGTAAATGAAATGAAATTTATTCACAGGTCAGCTTGAGTATTATACAGCCAATATACACAAATCATTAGTATCATGTTAGAAATGTACATACATGAAAATACAGGGCGCTGTTCTGTGCAATGGTTTATAAACAGGGATGTAACCATCAGAAAATATCAGAATATGATACGATTTTTGTCAGGATATTAAACAAAAGACGAAAGAAGGCTTAAAGAGGGATCCTGAAGTCCATCGATCAGTGTATTGTGAGATACCTAATGTTCAACTGAAGCTCTTTGTCTCCCTGTAGAGTTGTTTTTGACCACAGAAATTGCACACAGGTCTGTGGCTATGTATTTAGCGTTTTAGCTTTTGATCTCATGAGTTCTTGCACTACTATTTGGTGATGAGGCTTGTTAGAGCCTGATATGTAACATTGACCTAAAGTGTTATTTAAATCTTTTTTTAATAAAACACAAAATGTAATAATTGGTCAATAACGTATCAAAATGCTGAGCCCAAAATGAAGCAACTTGTTAGATTTTGGGTCAGTCATTACATTTTGGGTTTTATTAGGCTACCTTTTTTATTACAACATTTCAGGTCATTGTTACACATAAGGCTCTAACAAATGTGATTGATTTTTCGAAATGAATATTTACCTGATGAACTCTCATATTACTCGTACTTTTAGCTATGTAGGTCACCTCAGTATAGCAGTGTCCACAATTTTCTCTCATTTTGTCACCTCTTGTCATTTTTTGTCATTTCTTGTGGGGTGACCATATGTCCTCTCTTACCCTGACATGTCCTCTATTTTAGGGACTGTCCGGCCTTGTCCAGGGGAGTTTGTAAAATCCTTAAAAATGTCCGGGGTTTTGTATGGAAGTTTTGAGTTTGTGTAGCGGGACCAATTGAGTTAGAAGTGCGTGAAAAACACTCGACAAAGAGCTGAATAACCCTCAAAATTGTGCACGCAACTGTCCTCTTTTTGGGGATTCAGAATATGGTCACCCTGTTTCTTGTAATGTTGGAAAAATGAGCCACAAGCCTGTTCTAGCTGTGCTGATCTAAATCAGTGATGGCAATATGTAAATGCCGCATGTGTTACAATAGTGTCATTAGCCCCCTTCTCCCAAGGCTACACTGTGACTGAACCACAACTACACTTTTTGCCTTAAAGACCTAACACAGGTTTCCGACGGCACCAAGGAAGTTTTGTTTTCACGAAATTGGGAAATCACGAAACTGACAATACGTATACTTCCTGTGTAATTTGCTGTTTTTCTGAATCACCAGCTGAAACTATGACATTGAAAAAAAACAGGAAAGGGACGAGGAGTTGGTAAAAATCCTGGTAAGACGTAGAGGTTCCTGCATGCCAAGTGGCGAAACTGTGAGCTGGAGTGACTGCCCAAGTAGGCAATGGACTAAATTAGAGAAAGCAATCAAGATTACATTATTCTTAAATTCTGCTTAGTCAAAATTGCTGCTTTTACCAAGTATATTTCATATGGAGGTAGATGATTTAAGACAATTTGTAGTTAATCATTCTCATTCCACCCATCGATGTCTCACAGGGTGAAGCTTTATCATGTCACGGTCATGTATTTTACGCCAATAAGACACAATAACCTGGAAAATACACCAAATGTGCAATTGGCATAGCTTCCCCAAAAATCCGACAAATCCTCCAAAATGAAACGCTCATCTTCCAAAGACGTGCATTTTTGTTTTCAAAGGGAGGCAAGTCTGGGAAATGTGACAGATTTATGTCCTCACAACATGAGTAATAAACACCGATGGACAAACGCATGCAAACACACAAACAGTGAGAGACTCTCTGCTTAAAAACACAAAGTATGAACAAATATTAACTCATCAAACAGATTCTTACTTAAACAAATGAAGTCAATAAAGACAGACTTTAGTTTTTGAACACACACACTCAAACACACACATGCACACACATACACACACAACTCAGTGTGCCGATGATTATACCCGCCTACTGAAGTGTGATTAGTTATACGGCCTGTTTTTGGACAAAATGGCAGTAGGTGGTGACACAACATGACACATAGCCAGTAGAGCAGGATCATTAATTATAGTCATTACACCTATCGCCCCCAAAACACACATTAACACACAAGCATGTGCACAAACACACACACACGGTGACTGTGTGGCTGCCCCCTGCCTGACAGTCCAATCCTGCAGCAGAGGTAAATGACCGTGCACCTGTTGACACAGCTGGACTCGCACAGTGTGAGTGAAACACTGACTCGGCTCTGTAAAAGTTTCTCTGTGCATGACATTTCTGTGTTTTTTTCCTGAGTGTCTTGTGCTGGTGGCGCATTAACTTTGCATGACGCAGCAGGCATCACACAACCTCATATTCATGCCTCACCGCTGAGCTGTGGCTCGTGGCTGGAGCTGTTTCCTTCTGACAAACGTCTTTTATCATTAGCTTCAAAACCACATCGCCTCTCTCTCAAGCTTCGCTGAAAACAAAAAGAATCTTTTAAAGTCTTATTCCGCCTGTTTTTTTCTCGCTTCAGCTCCTCATCTGTCTCTCATCTCCCCTGCCAACTACGAGTATTACTGTGAGCCTGCAGACTGATGTAGTACAGATTGAAGCGCAGAGGCTGGATCATATCAGATTCATGTAAACAAAACAAACAGGCACCAGGCAACAAACAGCATGCATGTCTTTGACTCAGAGAGGCTTACATTGTGCTGACATTTCAGATAATCTAATCTTATGTATGTCTCTTTTACTCCTTTGCAGCAGACCCAAAATAAAACTTTGTCTCTGAGTAACACGCTCACAGAGCTCCTTCTTTCTTGCTTTTTATTCTCGCTGTAGAAAAGAAGTTGTTTACATTTTTATAATCTCAATCAACTGTCGCTAACAACCAGAAAAATGGGATAAACTATGAGATGTTTCCTCAGCAAGAGCTCGAGCCCAATCAGTTTTAGTCACATGCAAGAACTCGTGCCGGTCTTGCACCACACAACTTTTCCTGCTATTTTCCAAAGTTAGAGTAAAATCATGAGAGTTTGTAATTAGCATTTTGTTAAATTATTTATCCTTTTCGTCCTCACTTTCTTGACGGAGGGGGATTTACTTGATAGAGGCATTGGCAAGTCAATGTTTACAATGCGTAAGAATTTATATTACTTTTGTAATTTTTTTTAATCGTTTAAAATAAAGTCTATGATTAAATTCATATTGTTCTAATAAAAAATGTGCAGAAACTTAAAAGTTTTAATTTTCTGTCAGGATTCCAGTTGTAGTCTTGTAGTCTTGTAGTTAGTGACCCTGTGAGACCACTAGTCTAAGTCTTGATCTGTGACTGAACTCTTTAGTTATTTAAAGTCTGCTGGTGTATGAAAGGGATTAGAGATTACACATATATGACAAATAGGGATTAGAAAGAACATGAATACTTGTTGGTGCATTATTAATCACAGAAATATATTAATTTATCCTCATTGTCAGTTATTGTGGGGTTAAAAATATTTAAGTTTAGACAGATTCAAGTACAAAAAAATAATAATAGTAATATTTGTAAATGTGGATGCAGTCTACAAAGCTAACGTTTTTTTTTTAAACTCTACTTTTTTAAAACTCTTGTAATGGTCTTGAAAAGTTAGAAGTCTATTTTTTAAGAACCAAATTAATTGTTTTCAATTTGATCATACTTAAAACTGAGGACAAATAATTATAAAAGCAATATTATCATTATTATTATTATTATTTTTAGTGCACCACTGTTTTCTGTAAATGCAAATTAATGACCTATGAGGTTTGAAAATGCATAAAAGTGTTGCTGCTAGACTGCTCCATCTCAGGCTTATGAAGTGACGTATAAAACTTAACTTTTAAAATATTTTTTATTAAAAGGGGATGAAAAATATGATTTATGCACCTATTTTTTTTAATGCTATCATGTCAGAACTCAACCTTTCACTTTAGAGGCGATTCTCTCTTCGGTTGTTTTCTTTCTTAACCTTTGTACCCCTGCCTGTCGGAGTTAAAAAACATTACATGCTCATTTAAAAATAGATTCCTGACCCATTTGAGAGTCCTCCACCTCGTTTGGATCATATCTCAGAATAGGTTTGGAAACTCGGGAGCATTTTTTGGCTGCATTTAAATAACACTCCAAAATTAGACGGCCTTCTTGCTTTTATACAATACAGCACAATTTAAAGGAGACCACATATTGGTTCAGAACGATTTAAAGACATCTTAGACATAGGTTAGAAATACACTCTTATTTTGATTAAAGGAAGACTGTGAAACCGGACAGCCTTTAAGGGATACAGGTTTTAAAATGCACTCTTAAAAGAAATGCACCTTTTACTCTTACTTCTTTAAAGTGATTCTTTGCTGTGTACAAAAACTGTGTTGACCACGGTGCGTGAACGTATCTGAGATCTGGGAAATGACGGGCAGATTATGGAGCAGAGAAGGAGGTGAGGTGGAGGTTTCAGGTCTGACACACAGTTTGACAATCAGCAGCCTTCCTGTCTCCGTTCTTCTTCTTCTTTCTATCAGTCTGTCTGCTGTGTCTCTTCCTCCTGTCTGCGGCCCGTCTGCGTCTTTCTCTCACGCTTGTTTTCCCACACACCTATTTTTGTGGATCCTGACACCTCTAAAAAGCACAGGCACTGATTAATTCATGCTTTACATAATACCTGCTCTATTTCCAGTCGGGTTTGAATCTCACACAAATGATGGCTTTTTTTCGAGGCTCTTACTGGAGCCAGGCTGACTCTGAAAAGTCTATTCGAGGCTTTTTATGCTGGTAATAAATGAGGTTTCTGAAAGTCAAAACAAATCTGATCAGAGCAGGTAGATGTTTCAGCTCTCCTGCTCGTACAGGTAGGCGTCTACAGCTTGTTCACATCCAGAAAAATGATCAGAAAAGGAAAAAAGCCTTTAAAAGTAGATCAATTGCTTCAACATTTATTCAGCGCCCGCTCTCAAACCCACATTTTCGTTCAATCTCTCTCCACAGAGCCGGTCTCACTGCTGGTGCGTGAACCCTCTGAAAGTTAAGCAGAACTTGTTAACGTCACTCCTATTTTTGTCCCTCATCCATCCACAAACTATAATACTCCTTCATTTTGTGAGAGGAAAGTAGCCCCATTTGTCAGCACCGTCACCGCTGTGTTTTCTCATTTGTCTGTCAGTGATTCGGCTCAGTGAGTTAACGGCAAACCTAATTCCCTGTCGTTCATTCATTCGCGGCTCGCTCTCACTCAGGTGTCGAGGACTCGCTATAGGGGGGTGATTTAGCGCTCGGAAACTTAACTGCTCAAAGTGGAAACTCAAAGGGGGGAAGGAAAGCCTTTCCCTCGTGGTATGATGAATGATAAATGACTGTCAGGGGGCCTCTGAGCCTTCACTTCCCCGCTTACGTAGGGGGGAGAGACACGCGACTAAATCCTTCCACTGATCTTTCTCTGTCTCGCTTTCTCGCTCCTTTTTCGATTTCTTTCCTTCAGCCTGAAACAGTAAAGCCACTGTCTGCACATACACTCCTGATCTTCGTAAACTCAAGCTTTTCTTTTTTCCCCTTCATTGGGTTTTTTTTCTCTTCAGGCCAACACATCACTTTGATGGATTGTTAGAAAATAGTGGTGACCGCACACGGCAATTTCAGGCCAATTTAGGCCATCTTAAATTTACATCAGTTTTAGTGTGACAGAGACTGACTCCGCTCTGCGAGGCACTTAAAGCAACATTTGACTTTAGTGGAACTTTTGTAAGTTTTGGAAGGAACATGTTGGAGTGTTTTTTTGACGAGTCTTTTGCTGTTTTTACTGATTGAATATCAGGATTTACTTTGTTGCTCTTCAGTTTGCAATTAGATCGGTGAGGAAGATGAGGATCGCGTTAAATTCGTACACATGATGTCAACAGAGGCCTAGACAAAGAGTGAAAACGAACCCTGAAATTTGTCACAGATATAAATATAAAACATCTTAAAATAAAAACTGAAAAATCAAAAACCATTTTTAACTTTATTTCTCTCATTTAGCCTCAGTCTAGATTTCCAGCTTTAATCCCTGTTTTATTTTTCTTACCTGGATTACATCAAGATTGATTTTTGAAAGTTTGGATTTCTCCCCGACTGAGTTTGTCTGGCGTGACGGAGGAGTCCTGCGCCACGTCCTGACAGTGTGATATTGTCTGGAGGGCGAGATGATTGATCTCTATTTCTCATGCTTCGGCGGTTGAGAGCCGTCTCGCTGGCGTACGTCAATATGAAAGCCTTTGTGGTTACCAAAGCAATCCTTGCAGATAAGTTTGTGATGCCTGGACGCCTAAATCAAATCTGATCACTTGCGAATAAACTTTGTGGACGCTCCGTCATAAATACTGCCAGTCACAAACGTCTTTTAAGTCCGGGCTACATCATCTCCTTTCTTCTTATAAGCATATGTCTCCCTCCTCCAGTTTTCCCCATGGATCACTGTAGTAACTAACAAATAACTGTTGCATTTCCATGTTCGTGTCATCAGAATGCACTTGGTTTAAAGCTGTCAGGATATGAGGTTTAACCCAACACTAATTAGGATAACAATATTATCCTTATGATTAAAGAAATATCAATGAAACAGCTGTTACCTAGGGTGACCATATTCTAAATTCCCAAAAAGAGGACACGTCTACACGGGGGCGGAGTCACGGAGTCGCAGGAAGTTAATCTTAAGAGTTTTTCGGGTCGGATCAAGTGTCTTTTACACGCTTCTAACTCAGTAAGTCCACAGGGCCCCAAATATGTAACTTATGTACCAAACCATGAACATTTGAAGGATTTTATAAACTTCCTTGAACAAAGCCGGACAAGCCCGGACAGCCCCCCAAAAAGAGGACATGTCCGGGTAAAAGAGGACGTTTGGTCACCATTTGTTACCAGTCAAATCAGGGCAATGAACGCAACAGGCTTATCTTACATCTCATTATTTTAAAATGTCTTAAGGTAACATTCGTGTTTCCAGGTTAATTTTTTCTCGCTCATCAAAACTTATATTTTAGCTTAAACTCACCGTCGTCTTCTGTGTGTAATTATGTATCACACACTTACCACAGACGACCTGATTATCTTGTTAGATCGAGCTGCGGCTGTAACCACTCTGGGTTGAAGACTAGCTACCTTGCTGGTTACTGAGTCTTTCTCGTCGGCGTTTCCATTCCTTCGCTCTGTTTTTTGGTGGAATCAACCAACTTCAACAACCGCTCCTGTTGCACAGTATTATCCTACATTTATAGCAGAATATCAATATTCAGTAGTTTTTAAAGACGGTTATGATCAATGTTGGTCTGTTGTAAATCCGTGCACACAGAATCACACATGCCCCCTTTTTTGTTGACCTGGCATCTGTAGGGCTCAGTACATTTCCAGTCAGCTTAGTGGTCTTGGCAGACCATGAAGGATGAGTCCTTTTTAAAACCAACCTTGAGTCGGGACTGCATGTGGTATTTTAATTTTAGTCTTCTGCCTCCTACAGTACACAAATGAATGTTTTATTTTGACTGATCTAACGTTAAAATGATTCATTTGAAATAAAACTTTATCTCTGACCTTCATTTCCGAACCTTTAAACTGATGATTGTTTCTCTCGTTCTTTAACTTTGTGGCTTTTTCTCAAGCGCAGTTCTTCTTCACCACAAGCATGTTTGGTGAAGGGTCAGAGGTCACCGAGCAGCTCATGTTGAGTATGTATGACGACCTAAGTGTAATACAATCTCGCTCTGTTCGGTTTGATGCTCTTTAACAGTGGCTAATTATCTATTTGAGTTCTCGTCACCTTCTCCGCTTCCCGTTTATATCATTCTTTGTCCTTGGCTGATTTTGATCTCCAGCCATAACTGCTGTAGGAAGATAAGGCCAGACATCTCATCCCCTGGTTTTTAATTCCCCTTCGTGTTTGACAAAGAAAGACAACACCCTACGATGTAGATTCGACCCGGCGAGTGCGACAAGAGCGCCTGATTAAATCTCCACTTGTCCTCTCTGCTGTCAACAAGCGCCATTCGCATCGTGTGCTGTGATCCGGCTCATGCAAAGCTATAACGGAAGAGAGCCACAAGCTGTGTTCAAAGGAACATACCTCCATCTTGGATATCAAACATTTGGCAGCAGACCCAGTGTGAGTAACCCAATGAGCAATCCCACTGCAAGGATAAAAGCTGACCCCACTAGTAGCATCCTAATCTCTAAAAAAAGCCGGTTATCTTGAGCTGCTTCAAGGAACACACAGATGGATGTTATTTCAAGATTCACCACATCTTTTGTACGTCCCGCTGATTTTTCCTCTTAGTAAGAAATGTAAGCTCTGATCGTTTTTCTTCCTGTGTTTTTGAAGCTGGTTGCGCCTGATGTGATCGTCCTAATGTCGAAGGTTCAATCACAAGGTGGTTGTTTCCTATGGAAACGGTTGAAGGACATCTGAGAGCTCTTGTTGCCATGAGAGGCTCTCACCTCTGTGGTATGAGCACTGTGACGGTTGATTTTTTTTGTCCTATATAACATTTGTTAACAAACACATGCAGTCAAAAGAAAACCGGGCCTTCATAGTCAGATTGTTTTCCAACAAAAGGAAGTTGTAGCTTAACAACCTCAGCTTTGATTCATGTGAGCCGCCACTTTTTTCAGCGTAGTTCACCACCTTCAGGGACGTTTGTAAAAATTGGTTGAAAATTTTTAATAAAATCTTCATGGTTAACGTGGATTCTGTTGTGAAAGGAGTATTACCGGTGATATAAAAGCAAATTCAGTGGTCTGTGTCATTCGTACCAAGATCTTTGAGCTGTCTTTGCCACCAACTTTAGGAGTTACAGTATCTTAACAATAGACGGCCTACAAAAGAAACCTCCCTGCATTGACATTTCTACATGACGATAAAGCGATTGAGTGCTGATATTTCCAACCTAACTCAGCATTGAAAGCTAATAATGTCATGCTAAGAACTGAGTGGTACTGTGAGCTTTGGATTGAACAGAAACAAACTGGTTAGTAACGTGTGCAAAGAGGAGGTCATTGCTGTTGATCGATGTCTTATCACTTTGCCATTCATCAGGCGTTATAAATAACCCACCAGTCACTGTTGTCAGAGCATTTCACAGAGATGTGCACGAACACAAATATCTATCTATCTGTCTGTCTGTCTGTCTGTCTGTCTGTCTGTCTGTCTGTCTGTCTGTCTGTCTATGAGCGCTTCAGCTGACTGAATGAAAAAATGAAAATAAGTTGCCTTTTTTCCATACATCATTAAAAACATGAGCTCTCGTCATTTCTGGTAGAATATAAGCGCCCAACTCAAGCCCAGATGAAAAGGTAACATATGCAGTATTCATACTGCACCTCTTTGTGTAGTTTCTCTGATTAAACATATTGATTTTAACTGTGAATTATTGAAGCTCCTATGAAGAACTGTCAGTATGTATTGATATTGGCACCCCCTGTGGGTGAAGTGGTATCTCTTATCTCATTGCTGATTGGTCCTCTTTGTGCAAAAGTAACATTTTTAACAAAAAACCCCTCCCTGCTGTGGTCCATCACTGAAATGTATCACTCATTTGAATATAAAAATTGATTTAAATGTAAAAAATGGCGATAACATGGAGTGTATTTATTTTTTTCATTGACTCGTACCCACACCTGTGGTTTTAGAGGTTGCAAATAACTATATAAGAGTACTCAGTTTTAAGAAGGAGGCATGGGTATCGACTTCAGTGTGTTTTGTAACCTGCAAAAAAAAAAATAGACCTTCATATTTTTATCATTATTTAACATCTAAATTGAATGTTAGCCGGCAAATGTTTCACTATAAACTCTTATTTCCCCTCCTAAACTCCTCAGTGTTTGTTGTTTCTGTGCCACAGGGACTCCCAGACTTCTGAACAGAGCAGATATTAAACTCTTCAGTCTGAGAATGAAGTTCTTACACAGATTTTTCTGCCCCTTCTTATACCGCTGATCTGGGCCGGCCTCCCTGTGGCTGTTTCCAGCGTTTCCCTCTTGCTAATGTTTTGTCATCTGAAGCTGTGATATTATGTGAATTAGCCTGGGCGGAGATTGCCTTGTGGTAGTAATTCATCACCTGTTTGGCAGAGGTGACTGCATGAGCGACTGAGCGAGCGGTTACTGGTATGACGTGCGGAGCGAGCATCTGGTGCAGGGGGTTAATTGAGGGCGATTAAGGTGATTAATAGCTTTGTTTGAAGTGAAAACACAAGACAGACTAGCTTGTGTTACAGAGCAAATATTTGGGGGGAAAAATCCATCAGTGGCAGGAGAGCAGAATGGCTGCAGAAGGTGGCAGTCAGGTGTGTGAGTGCGTGTTGGATCTCGGTGTAATTGCCGTCTGAAAAAAAATGTAGCGTGCATTTGTGTGTCGAAGGAAATGGAAACATAGAGCTGTATGTGATCATTGAGGGGGAAAACGTAATATTGACAAAGAGCTGTCTGGTTAGAAAAAAGCTTCAGCTGAGGAATGTCAAATCTGTCGGCTCTTGTTGGTGTTTAGTCTTTTAAGGCAGCCTGATCAGGATGGGCTTCATCCACAGCTTCCTATTGTCCCAGTAAAGGTCTAGATTTCAGGGAGCACCACAACTACACCACAACTACACCACAACTTCACCTCAGCTTCACCTCAACAGTCATCTGGACAATCTTTTTTGAACCAGGCTGTAAACTTTTTTTTTTGGCTGAGTGTGTATGTGGTTAGTAGTGTTACTGCAGCCAGCCTCAAGTGGACACTCGAGGAACTGCAGCTGTTAGTGCTCAAGCGTGACCTTCTTTTACTTGTGTTTGTGTTTACTTTATTTGCAGGTATCAGCACAACAGAATAGCACATATTCATATTCAGCAAAAATGTAACTTTTGATTACCTAGCATATAAACCAATGATAGAAGCACAAAAGAGACAGAATAATATTGAAATGAGCAGAAAATCCGCCTCAGGAAGGCAAAACCTGTCGTTCTTCTTCTGGAGGGTTTGTAAGTAAAAAAAGTCAGAGTGGTGCTGCTATCAATAAAGCTTTAAATCAGGTTTTTCTTAGTTAATTTTGTGCTTTTTTACAGTAAAAAGCAGCATTTAATGTGACTTTCTTTTCTCAACACATACAGACATGTTGATCTCAACCTTAAAAATAGATATCTACAACTAGTCCAGCTGGTGTTCTGCTTGAAATATATTCGTATAAAACACATTTACTCTTCTGCTCAAAGTGTGTTTTTAACACAAATGGTCTAATTTGTATTAACTGTGTACATTCAACAGGTTAAAGTTGAATAAAATAGATAAGGGTTGATTTTTTTGTGTGAATTTGTATCACATTTGAACAATATGAAGACAAATAACACAAAACAAAATTTCACTTCACTCAGGACTGAAAATAAAGAATATATTTTGCTGGTTTTAAAAGGAGGTAATAAATAAAATAAAAAAAAGAGGTATTTAATGTAATTGGATAAGGTCTGTTATAAAAAATTCAGACAGTTTAACATTTATTTTTCTGTCGGTTTATCATCTCTTGTTTGTTTTGGCTGCAGTAAGCAGACATCCTCAGGGATTCACCATGCACTTCTTCTAATATAGAGCAGGGCAGAATTTTAATAACTTAGAAACTAGATGAAGAATCTTAAAAAGCTCAAAGTGTAGCTGACAAATGAATGATTTATTATGCAATTATTTAGTTTTTGGTTTGTTTATCAGCGTGGAACATCCTATTCTTGCCCCACCTTTCAATTTCAATTAATTGTCAACCTCAGATTTTGAGATTTATGGGAGTACTTCATCCATTTTTTGCATCAAGTACTTCACCTGTGTACTTCTTTGAACTGCCTCTCCATACACTGAGCCCTATTTAGCAGAGCTGTGCATAAAGCGTCATTTAATTAGACCCATGATTCATGACAGCGGGCACGTAGAAAGTGGGCAGTGTACTGAGGCGCAGAGAGATTCAAATTGGATCGGTGTAGACTGTAGTTGGGTGCAGTCATGCAGTCAAGAGTATATTGAACAATCTCTCTTTGCCTCTGTGTCGGCCCAGTCCCCACATTATGAATGTACTGTGGTTTCGTGTGCCCACCACTAAATCATACCCAGCTTGAAACCCTGGCCGAGTATTCAGGAGTATAACATCATGTAAATAAGATAATGACTGTCGCTGAAAGATGGAGCTGTACAGAGTTTCATAGTATCAGTGCCATATTTGAGTATTTGCCTAAAAATCTACTGGAGTTTGGGATACATTAAAGAGTCTAACCAAAAGTATGTCATTGTTTGGGCCATATTCTAAAAATTCTCCAAAAGTTTTTCAGAACTTGGGTCAAAATTAAACATCCATCTAAACATCTCATTTGCCTAAAAGTCTGCCAGTATCTTGGCCGTATTTGATCAAAGCTCTTCCAGTTTGACAGCCGTAGATCAGCATCTATCTTAGTGTCTTTCAATGTTGGGCCATATGTGAGCATTTCCCTCCAAAATTTTGTACTATTGAGGTAATATAGGAGCATCCACCTAAAAAAATCCACCATTTTGTTGTGTATGTATTGGCCGATACCAATATTGATTCGATATTAGCACAAACTTGTGCATGACAAGTTTTGCACTCAGCTGCAACATCTTTTTCAGAATTGAACGAAAAATACTGCCACGTGGCTGACATCGATCCTACTTCTTGCTACTTTGTTTGTACCTTTGTACACACTGTTGTTGTGATCACGTGGGCTCTGCATGCTGGATAGAAGTGCTGCTTTTATCAGAGTGATTTTGTCAGAGATTTTAGATGCGTCATCATCGTTGTTTTCTTACGCCTATCCTGGTCCGGGTCGCGGGGCAGCAGCTTCAGGAGGGAAGCCCAGACGGCCCTCACCTCAGCCACTTCCATCAGCTCCTTGGGGGGAATTCCCAGGCGCTCCCAGGCCAGGCGAGAGATATAATACCTCCACCTGGTCCTGGGCTGGCCACAAGGTCTCTTCCCAGTGGGACATGTCTGGAACACTTCTAACAGGAGGCGTCCGTAAGGCATCCTAACCAGATGCCCGAGCCACCTCAGCTGTCTCCTCTTGACGTGGAGGAGCAGCGGTTCTACTCTGAGAGCCTCCCGAGTGTCCGAGCTCCTTAACCTATCTCTAAGGCTGAGCCCGGCCAACCTGCAGAGGAAACCCATTTCGGCCGCTTGTATCCGCGATCTTGTTCTTCCGGTCATTACCCAAAGTTCATGACCATAGGTGAGGGTCAGCACGTAGATCGACCAGTAAATGGAGAGTCTCGCCTTACGGCTCAGCTCTTTCTTCACCACGACTGATCGGTTAAGCGTCACTGCTGACGCCGCTCCGATCCGCCTGTTGATCCCCCTCTGTATCCTACCCTCACTCGTGAACAAGATCCCGAGATACTTGAACTCCTCCCCTTAAGGCAGGAGTGTAAAGGCCATGGTCAAGAATCTGTTTTAATTGTTGTAGTATTTCATCTATATCTGAACCTAAAATTTTCAGTATTTTGACGATATCAGAGTATTTTTTCCAGTTTTCCAGACACGTGTCAGCATCCAACCCAATTATTTTCTAGTGTCTAGGCCAAACGTTTCACATATCTTTGCCAAATTAGAAGATTTACCACCAAACGTTTCCAGTATTTGGCCCATAATCCAGCATCTTCCTGAAAATCTTCTTGTGTTTGGGGTATCTATTGAATTCTCATCTTATATTATGAATTCAGTTGTATGTCAGTGTTGTATCAGGGTAGTACATGTTCTGTAAAAATGTTTTCCCTTGTAGAAATCTCCCCCACTGTTAGTAAAAAAGAGATATATTTGGCTGACGGGGATAGATGGATTCGTCAAGGTCGTCTGTCAGAAGCAGGACACGTGTCTAAATCCTGGGAAGTGTTTCATTTCAAAACAGGAATCACTTCATAAGTATAGCAGGAGTTGAGCAGGCAGACACGGTGACAGCCTCTGCCTCATCCCCTGTGTATCCCACCACCAGTCAAAACACCGACCTAAAATAGACACTTTGTTCCCCATAAATGGATTTAGCATGTGATCCACTGAAACCCGAGATGTATAATAACATCTTTTTACCGACACTATTTATACTGCAGAGGCTATTAGACTAAATTATATGTCATCCCTGTCTCCCTTCTGTGTTTTTAATCTCCTAGTTTTGGCACTCGAATGGTCGAGGGGTTCGCCTGTGAGCATAATCTCTCTCGACTAAAAGGGAAAGTTAAATGCGCCAAAACATGTTGCTGATCTTGGCAGGTCGTATCACACTTAAGGGCTATAGCGGGCCGCAGCGTTCCTGCTATCACGCCATCTCAAGTTGCGCGCACTTTTCCTCGAACACTCACTTTTTATTCCAGCTGTTATTCTTAAAGGCCTGTGAACCTGACATCAAAATAAGAGTTTTATATGTCTTTACACTCTGCCGTCCTCTCTCTTCACAGGCCTCAGAGATAATCAATCACCGGTAAAAAAGGTGCCAATATGTTAGCATACGGGAGGGCTGCAGATCGGGACACGAGTAACGCCGGGGGAGGATCAGATTGCTGGGAGTAAGAATGATGTCTCAGGGATTGTTTAAACTTGGGTTTGCAGAGTTTTCTATAGGATAAAATCTCAACCAAGCTGGGTAAACACCGCTTTAATGGCCGAGCAGTCAAAGTTGTTTTTGCACTTATGTTATTGCTGCCACCCTCGGTCTATAAAGTTCCTGAACTTGCACAGCATGTCCCGGTTTTTAAGCTTATAAAGGTGAGGGCTTTGGGGCCAGTCATTCAAATCTGCGAAGGTTATACTAAAGCTGAGCCAAGCTGATCACAGCTAGAAGCTTTTTAACATCTCCAAGGAAAGTGCTGACATTTATAACCCGTATTACAATGTACTCATATTCGGAAAAGAAATCATATCTGATGAAAGAGATTACTGCGCTGTTCACCTCTTCTCCTCGCTCTGTTTGCTTTCACGTCATGAAAGTGTTTCTTTGCAGTAAGAGTAGTGGAGGGATGGATCCTGATAAGACCCAGACAGAGAATCAAGAAAGCATATTAATGAGAAGAGGCATGAGCATGAGCATTGGCAGCAGAGGTTGAATCGAGCAGCCTACCTCGGCTCCCGATGTTACTTTAAGTGTTGTTCAAGCACCCACTCTTTTGTAACACCACTTTGGCCTACTGCGACTGTGCTGGTCCCCTTATCTCCTGGTATTTCTGCTTTAGGTGATGTAGAAGCAGCTGGCCTTTTGTGGCACTTAACCATTTGAAGTTTGGCTTCTGGAAATAATTCTTGTTGCATATTCATAAACAGGAGACTTGTTTATGACTTATTTACAAACTGCACTCCCTTTGGTCCCCAAACGTAACTTGATAAAGTTTTTAGTTATGATATGCATGGGACTATTTTAAGCATTCAAATACATATCTTCCTTTAAAGCTACCGTACAGAGTTTTTTGATGTTTTGAAATAGACAGAAATTCATTCTGATGCCTTCTCTTAACATCCAAAAGCAAACAAGACCATCAGCGACAAGACTGAAGAATTACAATGAATGATGTATTTGACAGCCAAAGGTCAGTAGGAGTAGATTTTTGTCTCTTTTTTTTGTTTATTTTTTTGTTGATGAGACTTTTATGTCCCCAGGGAGGCGCCAAAAATCAAAAATTCTCACAGTTTTCCAAATTGGGCTGAGTTACGATGGAAGATTCAAGGTTCAGGAAATGATGATAATCATAGCTCGGCCTTGACTCAACCTCCACACAGACTGGGCTCACACACACGTGCAAAATTTAAAAGTTATATTTACAGTGTCCCTTTAAAGTTGCATTGTGCAATTTTGTGTTTTATGTAGATCATATTCCAAATAACTCTGATGATGGGTTTTATTTGTGTGTGTGTTGTTGTTGGTTTCCTTATCCACATGTAAATGAAGACACTGGCGAATTTTAATGACAAGTGTATTTTAGCTCAAAACTTATGATCTTTGGTATCTTTTTTATCTTTATTACTGTGATCATTTTGTTTCCCTATTTATTCTGTTTTAGTGCACGGTTGTCACTTTTTGATTTGTGTGTGGCCGCTCTTTGTCAGAGACTTTGTGGAATGCACTGCTGTTCTTTCTTCTGTTGAAAAATATTTCAATTTACCAAAGAGAGGCTCAATTGTGAACCACTGGCTCAGATAATGCTGCTGCACTCCCGACCACACTTTCCATATTTTACCAAATTTGACACGGCGAATTAGAAAATATATACAAATGTCTGCCAAACGTGGTTGCATTTGCACAATGTATTCTCAAAGTTTTGTTGAAATTTTACTTTTAAATAAAACATTTGGGCAAAACTGCCCACAACATCATTTAAAAAGCTTTGCAAAAAAAAGGACTCTGTAAGTTTTAAAGTAACAGTTACAAAAGTTAAAGTTAAGTTACAACACTTAGTTTTTTGTGATGCAGTAACGTTTGGCCAAAAGCACCAATTCCTCAATTTTTAGGGGTGTCCAAGACAATAAAAGCTCTGAGGTTGAAGTTTCTCAGACTGACAGTTTTCTAAACAGCTGTGAAGGATGTCATCATGAGTTCGATATGATGTTATGGTTCCCCAAGATTTGGAGCTCGCTGCGAACCGATGAATCAACATCTCTTCAGTGCGAGGATGTTTTGTAGACATCCAGGGAGAAAGAGAGAGGTGAGAGAAAGTGCAGTCTTGTGGTCTGCTTTGGTTTCTAATATTGCAGAGGTAGTTCTTCAGCAGCCAAGCGGCACCATGTGACGGTAACTGGATCGCAACACAGCTGCAGCCGCGGGCACCGTTGGTCGTCCCCAAGGCTGCTGGAATAGCGACAGGATAGCCCCGCACACAAATACTGTACATGCACACACCAGTGGATGGAAAAACCCAAATAGTACAGGATGGGAGTAAGTGGGGAGGTGTGGGAGAGAACTCTACCCTGCCTGTTTCAAAGATGTTTTTAAAGCTGTGAAATTTTGAGTCCGACCACAGCAGGCTGGGTTTCACACAGGGCTGTCTTTTAAAGCCAGAGATGGTGTGTTTGTTCTCCTGGTAAATGAGGGGTGTCGGTGGTCAGACTGGAACCAAACTACACTCAATTAGGAATGTCTCTGTCAAAGGGCAGACCAGACGCTTGTTCGCTATTAAACACTCTTTATTCGCTGTTACAGCCGTTGCTCTGAATATACGCTTTAAACAGAATAAGTTAATGTTAGAGGAGTACATCTGTCATTAAGCTAGAGAGATTTATTAAACCACTATATACTTTGTTTATTAAGACATTTAATGGATCAATTTTATTAAGATTAAGCTATAAAGGTGGCAATGATGCTTGAAAGACTTATTAAAGTTACGACCAAAAAACAAAGTAAATCAACATGTCCGTCAAACCGTTTTTTTACACCCATACCTGGCTTCTTTATTTGGAGTTTAAAGCGAATTAAAACATTTTCAAAGCAGACAACAAGCTTTGAGTATTAAACAATTTATGCTAGGTCCTGGACGGTGATTATCATGATCCTTGAAAGCTGCTCGAACCAACAAAGTGGCCAAATCTTTAGTCGTGACCCTGCCAGAGATTGCTGGCCAATGTTCCAGGAGAGTATTGAGCTGGTTGAACCATTTGCTGGTCCTCAGCTGGAGCCATTGTGGTCACTGTGGTCCTTATCTTTCCTCTTCTCCTTTCTCAGACTTGTTTTGCAGTTTGATTAAACTCAAGCTCTACCAGTTGAGTCGATACCTTGGCAAGAAAACTTTGTCATTGCAGGTCGCTGATTTTTATTTACCATATCAATAAATTGTTGGGCAGTCTGTGGCGTGATTTCCTTTCTCATATCAGCTCAAAAGACAGTGAAAAACAATCCTGGACAAATCAGTCACCAGCCTCATGACAAACTACAAATCAAACAGAAACCCGGCATCTTCTTCCGTGTGCTTCTCTGTTATATTGTCAACAAGCTCTCCACCTTTCATAAAAACTCCCAAACTGGTGAGTAGACGTATTTTTGGTTGCTGGTCAAGTACCTCGTGTTCACTTTCAAACATGATTTACGCTACAGTAGAAGGCACACACAAGAACGAAAGCTAGCCGGGTCTTTCATGCTTCTTCTTCTTCTTTGACTCGCTTTGTTTAATGGTGGGTGACAAAAGAACCACCACTGCCCCTTACCATGAACCAGTTAGTCAACCACAAGGCCACTGACACGCTGATGAAGCTACAAATTTACCATGCAGTGTTGACGTTCTCTAAATAAAAGTGAATTTCCTTCAATGCAAGGAAAATCACTTCTGCACAGTCAAAGAGGCAGGATTGTGTAGATGTTATTCTTCTTGAAAGAGATATGTCGTAAGAGCTTCATGCTTTTGTTCGAGCTGTTGAACATTTCCTGTTTGTACTGACTTCCTCGTCCTTGACTTCAGAGCATAGCGCGGCCCACACAAACTCTGTCTGTACAGTGGAGACAGATTAAACTCAGTTCCCTGATGATAAGATCTATCGATCGTGTCTTGTTTGTCTGACTCTGTCCGTCCATCGCTCATGGAAGTTATTTAAGGTGATACCTCAAACTCTGCTGCTGTGACTGCAGCAGAGATCGTACATCTTCAGACCATATTCGAGACTGATTTGATCTCTTCGGGTCAAAACTCCGAGCACAAACATCCCTCAGATGTCATTGTCATCATTTGGAACAAAACCTGATGGATGGGTCTTGGCGCTGTTTTCTAGTGTCTGAATAAATGACATCATCGGCTGGGGGGTCAGTATGATTAAAGGCTGGCATTTCAAACTCTGACAGGCTATACAACATGGAGCTCAATCTGATCGGAGCTGTAGAGGTGAAAGCACTTTTACGACTGTCTGACTGAAACTACAGTCACGCCTTGTCTACCTTATTACGCCCAATCTTTCTTTCACTTTGAGAGGTCATTAAATGGCATCAAAATGATTTTGTGCTAAGTGAGGGGATACTCCACAGCTGTAGCGCAACTCTACACCCGTATCTGTGAGTCAGGCTTGACACCAGAGAGTGTGCGGGGCTGTTGCAGGGCAGGGTGGGACCGGGGGAATCCAAAGTTGGCAGACAGATCAAACGCTCCGCAGTGAACCCTCATACCAAATGTTGCAGATACTTCTCTGGAATAAATAGAAGGAATACTGCAGGGAGTGTAATGATGACATCCATCAGCAAGCTAAAGATAGTGCTCTTACAAATACTAAGTACTGACGAATGACACAATGAATGAAATCAAGTGTGGTTGTATTAGACCTGAGGGAGAGCGAATTAGCTGTTAATTTCACTGAATGGAATTAAGAACAACTTTAAACAGGTTTACTGCTATTAAAAAAAAACAGGTATGTTCATGCCGTCTGCTAAAACTAACCAAATATAACTCAGAACAGCAGACCTGCCAACACTCCTGATTTCAGCAGATGTTTCCCTCATTTAAACCCATTCTCCCACCATAATCCTGACTTATCTTCTCCCAGTTATCTCTTTTTACACATGAATACAAAGGTGTTCCTTAAACCTCTATGTGGTGACCCAACTAGGCAGCAACTGGCAAGCACAAACCACTCTACCTCATACCTCTGGCAATGCTGCGGTGGCGTACGCCTTCCTGAGAAGGCAATTTCAGTTGCAGTGATATTGACAATTCGTAGTTGATGTCGTGTACGATGTAATCATTTTCATAGCGCAGACATCTTGAGCGGGTATCGGATGAACAGGCAAATTCATCACAATGACACAGTTAGCCTGCATTTTTATTTCAACTAAGCAAACCACTTCAAGTTCACTGCTTGGAAACCGTGCAGATTCTGTTGGTTGCAGCAAAAGTGAGAACGCTTGATGTCTGTCTTGATGTAGAGTCATTGACGTCGCCTGTTTCTTTCTGCAGCAGAGTTCTGAAGCCTTTTGGCAGCAGTTGCCATATTGGTAAAACCGACTCTGACCAACATTCGGTCAACCCTCCAAAGGCGGGCTCTTCCTAGCCTCATCATAAATGGCCACAGCCAGTCTTGTGACTTTATGAACTTTAAAACAAATGGTTGTAATTATGTTTATTTTTGCTTTTTGGCTTCTTTTGTAGGTGGTTACTGGTGCTTCGGCAGCCAGTCGCAAATGGGCACGCGGGGAGCTGCAAGTTTGATTTCTCAAGACTGGAGGCTGCCACTTGCTCAGATAGTGTGTATATACTTCTGTGTAGGTGCAGAGCTACCCAAACCTACGGCATGTACAATGCAGTAGATTCCTCTAGGGCTGGATGATTAACCACATATTTACTGTTACCGAAATTTACGACAATAACCTATATCATTTTGTCCATGTCAATATATTCTGTGTCAAATAAATAAATAAATAAAAGTTGGTTTTGGATGTGTGTAGGTAGGCTATGGTCTCATGTCCCTTCAAGACGCTGTCCTATGTCCCATCCAGTCCGTAACAAAGAGGGAAAGACAGGTGAGGAGATGGAGGACGGTTCAAAAGTTATAGCGGCTGAAGTAGACGAAGTTAATGTGGGAGGGGGTGAGCAGCTTGTGAAGTAGTTATTGTCCATTTATCGTTATCGAGGTGAACTCCTCAATATATTGTGATATTGATTCGAGGCCATATTGCCCAGCCCTAGATTCCTCTTTAGTTTCTTTCTGCTTATCTGTTTACCTCCTCTTGCCCTTTTCTTCTGCTGCATTATGATTATCCTCTTTTGTTTTGTCTTTCAAACCTCTTTGTGAACACAGAGTGAACTTTTTTGGTGCAACAATAAAAGATACAAAAAGAGGGAATAGAAGATCTGGCTCGATGAAGGTTTCTGGCTGAGTGGAGTGCTCAGCTTTTGTTGCTCAAGCCAGAGTTTAGAGATCCAGCAAAGCAGCAGCAGCAGAGTTTATTTATTTTACACCCTGAAAGATAAATTAGTGATATTTAATCATTTAATCACGTCTCTAATCCCAGTTGTCATCGTTACACAAGCCATACAAACAGATTATCATTAAAACAAACTGTGCAGGCATGCTGTTGTCTGTCAGATACAGGCTCCTCCTCATCAAACCGGACAACAGCACGATTAAATTCAGATCGCAGCTCTCTCAGAAGTGCCAGGGGAAATGACCTTGCCACACCAAGACATATGCTTTTAGTCCACTCTCGTTCTGTAATGAGGAGAGCTGGCAGGATGATCAAAGGCTTTCCACTGAGCCCTGATACTAAATGTTACTGATGATCTGTCCAAAGGGGTGGGGGGCTGATATGTAGATCATACCAAACAACCAGAGAAGTCTGGCTGCTCCATTCAGCTCTCAGGCCGGCGCCTTACTTAAATGACACTTTGCCTTGACTGCATGTCTGCCTTCTGCACACAGCTAATGTAAACACTGCAAGGTGGTAAAGGAAATGAAGGCAATAGGAAAACAAAGATGGTGTTGATAGTTCAGTGCTGTACAGCTGGAGTGTGATGGGCTTACGTTAGGAGAAGGACAGGCCTTTGGCTGTGTAGAGACTGCAATGCATGGTTATTAAAGGCACGGTTGACGATCTGAGAAGCAGTTGAAAAAAACTGAGCCATTGAGGCAGATTTGAAAAAAGGCGTCCCACCCCCACAAACAAACCTCTCCCCTCTGTGCTCCACTATAACTCCCCAAACCTGTATCGCCCTCCCCACGACACACCCCCTCTGGCAGAGCAAGAAGCCGTTCAGAAGAATATCCTACGCTAGCTTCAAATAGGATTCACCATGTCGGATTGCTAGTGACGAGCGGCAGTAAACGCCAGCTCTGATAGCGAGCACCTTCTGCAGCTACTGTGTTGACATTGCAGAGACTAATAAGAGTTATTTATGTAACATGTGCCACAATAAGAGGCAAAAATGACCTGTTCAACAAAAACTCTGCTGTCTCAGCGTCTGTTTTCAGGCCCAAATCCTGGCGGAGTTTTCTCCACCGCTCGATTGATGACCCGATGTTTATTCGAGTTAGATTCCTTGCTTGGTCGCATTTCCTCATCAACTCTTCCCTTTCTTCTGTTGGCTCACATTTTCTTAGCACTTTTGGCGGTGGGGCAAGCAAAAGTGTTTTTTTTTTTGCATCCTTCTCCATCACAGCTCCTGTAGCTAAGCTGCTACGCTACTTTTAGCCACTTAGAGCTCCAAGGAGGGCCGGGAGAGTGGGAGGGGACGAGTCAGAATGACAGGAGCGGGGTGTGTTGAATACAGCGAGGTGATTGGATGGAGAGGCAGAGCAGGAGATTGACCAATAGGAGCCGTCTGGGACGGATGGCTCCTATTGGTCAATGTTTTTGCAGCCCTGTACCTGCTAGGGTTAACGGATTTTTTCCATTGTTTTTTCTCTTCACTTTGTGAAGATCACACCATAGGACCATGATTGCCATACAAACGAGGTTCATAATAATTACCAATCTCTCGAGTCGTCAACCATGCCTTTAATGTGTAGAAAAGACATATGGAAGTTAGACCCAGCAGGGGTTCAGACAGGTATGATGATTTAAAGCACTTCTTTGCATGTTCAACTTTGAAAAATTACAGATAAATTTCTTTATTCTTGTTTTTTAGCACTCTAATGTAAAATCTGTTTTTACACCTGATATTTAAAGTTTTGCTTTGCCCCCTGGAGAAAAATCCACCAGCTTCCACTGCTTTACACTCCCTGTTTGTCATATATCCCACTCCCAAAAGCTCTCCTCTCTACATTTCTCTCTCATCCTTCAAAATCCTGCTGCCGCTAATAGAGTCTGTACGATGAAAGTATGAAGATCAAAGTTACAGGAGAAACGCCAAAGCAAAGCTTTTCTACCCTGAACACAGTGAAATCAATCCCGCTGAAATGGAAATGAGGCACATCGCGAGAATGAACAGCGGGAGCGCAGAGGTGGGCGACAAAAGACAGAGGGCGAGGAAGGGAGAGAGAGAGAGAGAGCTGAGCCTGTTACAAATTCAAAAACATGTTTCAACCTGTTGAAACTGCTTTGTCAGCAAACTGGCTCCAGTCCAAACACCCCCTCAAACGCACGTCTTCTTTCGCCTGGCTTTCCTCCCCTCGCCCGCAGAGGAAAATGTTAATAAACTGGGGACTGCAGAGTGAAGCAACCCTTTCCAAAGAGCACAGAACAATGAGGCTAATCTGTCCGTCCCTGGCACAACCCTAACAAGAACGCTGAGACGTGAGTGGCATTTCAGAGCGGGTTGTCTTTCTGTGGAGCTGCCTCACACCTCGTCAGAGGACACTCAAGAATGAAACATTAGGGGACTGGATAAATTAGCTTTTCCTTTAGCTCTGCCGTAGGGGAAATTGATTTATATCCTCTGTGTTATTCCTCACAGAAGTCATTATCACCCCTTGGTGACTGATACTTATCTTTTTATCATCAGGGTGAAAAGGATCATTTGCATTCACGGCAAGGAGGAGATTTTAATATCGTCAAATTGCAGCAGATTGTGTACAATAAAACAAACAATGGTGCTTTCAGGCTCACATCACCCTTTGTGCCGCTCTCCCCTCTCTGTCTGTGAGAGAAAAGACAGGCGTTCTGATAGGCCGGGAGATACGAGCAAACAAAGACACGGAGCAGCGCGCTATCGCCTCCGTGTTGACGCCACAAGGTCCAGAGTTGTCAAAAGTATCTGACCTCCATCTCTGCCAGATTAAAACGCATGACTGCAGACAAACAGAGGGAAAGAAAAAGTGGAAAGTGGATAGAGATCAAATGCGTGTTCAAACAAACTCGGCTGGCGTCAGGCTCGAGATACAATAAAGAACAATGTCGCCAAGGCAACATCAGCAAACACTCATTCACCTTTAACTTTTTCTCATCTTTCCTGGTGAGAGTGTGTTGTACTATCAGAAACCTCCAGAAATAAAGCACCAATAAATAATTTAAAAATCACATATTCTTCCTGACTGAGTTAAAAGAAGAGAACAGATGCAAGAGTGTCAGTGCGGTGCTTTTTCTGCTCTCAGCCGTCCCCGCTCAGTTACAGAAACATTTTTAGAAAAATATTTGCTCCTTTGACTGTCACCACCTGCTGCACCTCGGGCTCCTTCTTTCATTGTTAGTTTATAGTATGATTAAAGAGACTTCCATCCAGCACCTGGTTTGTTATGATACCACCGTACCCAAGAGCAGAGCAGCAGATCCGCCGGCAACATCTACGCTTTGATTTCAAAATCAAAGCGTGAAGCGAGAAAAATGGGCACAAGTTCAAATGCTACTTAAGTTTTTCATCAACTTTGTTTTATGGACGAACTGTGCAAATTTCTTCAACAGGAAAAGAAAACAAGCGAAGATTTATGCGAGAAGGTGAAAGCAGAGAGAGATCCGATATATTTTCAGCCCGTTGCTGACAGAGGAGAATAAATAAGAGTTACATTTTTAGAGTGTATGAGTGAAAAAAAAAGGTTGCATAGTAATAAGGTCCCATTTTTTAGATATGTTTTAATAACAGTTCAATATATCTGAATACATTTGCATGAAAAATAAGATAGAAATACAAACCCAATGCCATATTAAAGCCACCAACCCATAACGGCTATTGTAAAAACTGCTGCAGAAACGGCACTTAATCATCAGCTAAAAAAGTGAGCTGGATCTAAAACACTGGTGTGACCAGTAGACCAGTATAGAAAGCAGAGAAGGACACTCTCTTATATTGAGGTATCACTAATCCTCTGGGTATATACAAACATGTGTACGAACCCAGAAAATGGTGCTCAAGAAGCAAACAACTGCTGCACAAAACAAACTTGATTTAAAGCTAAGTGGACGTCTAGTAGCGCGACATCGTATGGCTTTTCTCTCTTTTACGGACTCTGTGTCCATCTGTACTTCAGAAATATCAACAACACCTGCTGAACTAGAACAGATGAAGAGCTACACGTCTACATATAAACTGCACATTGCTGAACACAGTGAGAGTCTTCATCATGGGGATGGTGCTATTTTAATTAGCACTGGAGCGCCTTTTAAAGTCCCACTCCGCTCATTTTTTTTACTACATGAGTGTTCTCATTGGTCTTTAAATCGTGATTATGAAGTTTTTACCCAAAATCAGCTTTTGTGTCGTTTTTAAGGGCTTTTCTTCTGCAGAGCTCCAGTAGCTCATTAATAATTCGCCTCTGAGTCGTGGGCGGAGACTGTGCTACTTTGCACACTTTTCTTCCCGTTAGCTTGCTGCCTAATATTGCAGGTGTAGTAGAAGAAGCAGGTAACATAGGAGCTATTCTGCTCTTGGACACTAATGTCTTTGGGGACATGATGAAAGTTAGTAACATAATTAGCTTTCTTACGAGCATTGCAACTTGCTAACGCACACGCTTGTTCCGCGATTGTCCTCTCTATTTTGCATAGCTGGGCTCCGAGGGTGGAGCTTGGATTTGCTACGTGTCTGAACCTACCATTTGGGTCTGCAAAAGATTCACAGCTATTTGAATGCAGAAAAAATCAGAAATACAATTTCATGCTTACTTTTCTTATGATATGTCCTGTCGCATCAGAAAAATGCCACATAAACATGTAAACAACAAGTAAAACATGATTTTTATCGGAGTGGGTGTTCAAAGGTTGTGTAACCACTGCTGCCAACATTAGGCTACTGTATACCGCACGGGTTCCTGAATAGTAGAGTCTGTTAGCATTACTGCACCAGTTAGACCACTTAAACTGGTGGTCTGCCTTTGTACGTACTGAAGTTAGACGATGGCTTAGTGAAAGTGGAGTGTTTTTTTCTTCGTGGGCATAAATTGACATCATGAATCTTTGAAGTCCCATAGCGCAGTTTTGATCCACTCCAGCAGCACTACATGCACGGTTTTCATGCAGGAGGAGAGTTTGAACCATTTTCCCTCCAGCAGCCCCCTAAAACTGACTGCGTCCTACACACCAGTGTGATTTATCCTCTGGATTTTACACTAGCTGCTCGAAAGCCTTTAACATATCTTGTCATTTTCATATTTATTCGTTCAACATCAGCTCATAAACAAAGTGCACTCAGCTGCTCTCCATTCGCCCGTCAGGCCCTCAGCAGAGCCTCCACAGAGAAAGGTAATGGCCTCACAGCGGGAGTCCTGACTGAGCTGCCATGAGGGCTCTTGACAGTGTCAGCGTGAGAACCCGCCTGGTTGTCAGGAGTGTCTATACACCAGCTTTTCCCCATCAGGGGTCTGGGATCAAAAGTCCTGCTGGGTAAGCTGACGTCCGGTCCGCCCAGGATACACTGATCTGCTCCGGGGATGGAGAGTGTGGCAGCTGACCTGTTTGAGTTCATTATTTCTGGAGTATCTGAAGCAGTTTTGACGAGGTCTAGACCTGATGAGGTGCTGCTGTTATGTTTGAGTCTTTGCTGTGACGTCAGGGGTATCAAATCTGGTTGTTCTTTCTTCTCGCAGCCTTTCCACCTGCTCTTCCCCTCCTCCTCCTCCTCCCTCGTTTGTTCAGCAGTTTGACATAAAAGCTCACACTCGGTTGAAGATCTGCTCTTTAGCTGGAAGAACTGATAGAACTGAAAGTCACACTCATACAGAGGCTTATATTTATACACAGGCACGTAACTGGACGACCCTGTAGCGGCAGGGTCCTTGTTCAGAAGGCAGCATTGCAGGTTGGGTGAGGAAGGTAACGGCGGGGGGTGAAAGACGGGGACGAGGGCGGAGGAGGAGAAGGAGAGGTCGCTGTGCAGCTCCCTCTGTCTCAGCTCTCGTTCCAGCATCACGTTCTCCAGCTCCTTGTCGGCGAACGCTCTCCTCTTCCTCATGCGGGCGCTGATGGTGGGACAGGGGAAGTTTGTTTGCTCGCGGTGCGTCTGCTTCGACCAGCAGGGGGCGGCGGCCTCCAGCTGCCTCGCTGGTTTCAGTCCTGCACAGAGAGCAAAGCCACGTCATGTTTTCATAGAAGTTACTCAGGTTTGAATAATGACGTTGTGCTGACCGGTTAATTGTTGTGTTTGTGTTTGAGTGCTTAGCTCTCTGTTATTTTAATGATCCGCTTGGTTAGCCGTGTCAGTTTTGCTTTACTGCGAGCACAGAGGGCCATAAAGAAGGCAAAGGCTGCAGCGGGGAATTGACTTAATGCCAGCAGGTATGAATTCACACTGTGTATTACAATAATGGCCTGTTGGTGTGAAATAATGAAGCCACAGTGATCAGATTTGTTTGAACAAAGTGTCTTGGTTTTAACGACTGCTGAGAAAAAGCTGGAAATCACCTGTGACAGTTTTTGTCTTATTAAAGGTACAGTGTGTGATACTCAGAGGCATTCAGCAAAACAGACTTGGTAGAAATGGAATATAATATAAGTACGTTTAAATTACAGTCTGATCTGAGGAAGAACTATTCGAAAAAGAAGGGGCTCATTCGATGGAAATTTTTGATGGTTAAAAAATATATAATTGTAGGATCATGCTTATCGTTTATCACAGGAGCTTATTGTCTCAGAGGACCACCATCACTGACAAGAGGGGTGAGCAAGGGAGCATGTAATCTGGACTGTGATCGCCATAAATATCGTAGAGATGCACCGATCCATTTTTTTCCGACCCAATCCGATACTGATACCTGGGCTGAGCATATCGGCCAATATCCGATACCGATCTAATACTACTGTAGAATGAATGAACTGTATACCTTGTCCTGTGAGTGAAGGCATCAGGCTTGATATTAGCCTTCTTATAAAAAAGGTAACAAATTAATTAATCTCACCTCTTTTCATAAATGTTAGTTTCTGTCTTAGACACATTTTTAACTTGCTTTTATTGCACTGGGTTATCTCTCATTGTGGCAACAGATAAAAGGCAATGCCGACACAGAACAGGTGTTTTAGTCGACATCGTCCTTCTTGTAACCAAAATAAATCCAGATAACTGACGTTGCTTTTCTTTTTGGCAACAAGTTTTCATTTTTGGTGGTTTTCTCTTGTTTGTTGCTCATTTTGCAATCTTTGTTGTTGTTGCCGACAAATGCATGTCCGCCGAGAATTGCATGCACCTCACTAAAAACGCGCACCGGTTATAGTAGAGGGGTCCACGGAAATGTACAATTTAAAACCCATACAATTCATATTTGTGGGGCTAAACAGTGATGTTAATGTTCCAAAAGTGCATTCCTTTTTTCGGCACAACAACGGCAGCGCCAGCGACTCACTTCATGTACAAAATCACTCTCTGATTTTGATTGACGGCTGGTATCTGAGTAAAGAACGAATGTGATTGGGGGATCCCTACACGGCACATGCAGAGTCACATGCAGTGCATTTCAGTCGGCTACCCTTGAAATTAGAAGAGTTCATTTGCCTCCAATATCTCAGGCTCTGCAATGTGACTGTTGAGCACATAATAATGTCCAAACTACATATAGTGCAGCCCTGATTTAGTGCAAAAGGATAGTCAACAGAATCGCTGTGTTGCTGTGTATAATATGAATCAAAAGAAGAAAAAAAAAAGACGGGATCGGAACACTGGATTGCTGTCATTCATCAGATATCCGATCCAGGTAATTTGTCAATATTGGAGCCGATATCCAATCCAAATATCAGATCGGTGCATCCCTAATATTTCCCTTAATACGCCCATTTCTACACACCCTATCTTTAAAGGTCACACATGTGTTTGTTTATTGACATTGTGGGGACTATAACCCTGAGAGGACCAAATGAGGTCCTCATAAAGTCAAACAGTGATTTTCTGTTTGGACTTAAATTGTGCACAGCTTTAAATCAGTTCATGGAAGAAAAGTTTTCAGAAAAGGCAAAGTCATTTAGTTCAAGTACAAATAGTATACTTAGAAAAGTGAGCAAGTCTTTACAACAACTATTACTTTCAGTTATAAACAAATATAGAAAAAAAAGAAAAATAATGAAAAAAACGTTTTATCTATCTGTGGTAGTGTTATCAGCTATGATTGAAAATAATGAATATTTTGTATAATCATATTCTTATATTTTAAATATTTGTAATCTGTTTGCAAAACTTTTTTATACCTCATGTAAGTTTTCTTCATGCTTCATAGTTTATATATTTTTTTCCTACTTCCTGAGATACTTACAGTACAAGAATATCCGTGTTTGAAATGCTGAATGAGTACTAATCTTTATGAACTCAGATTGACTCAAAGTACTGAAAGCAGCAGAGAAACATTATCTTTGAAGATTTTATCAGATCTGCTGAAAAGAAAAATAAGCACTTTCCTCCTCTGTCTAGGAGGGAGGCAGAACATTAACAAGAGTGGAGATGATAATTAAACTTTACCCTGCAGGAGGCTCTTAGCCAGGCTGCTCGGTTGTTCTGCTGCTCGGCTGTAACGCTGATACGCTGTCCTCCGCAACGGAGCTGCACACCTGACCCCCCTCTTACCCTGCAGGAAACATGGGAACAGGAGTCAGACATCCAGACACAATCATATTAAACTGAGTCTGAGGCCCTGGGGTAATTAAAGGGAATTAAAACATTATGTAAGGCAAGTATAGCTCTTTGTAATTTTATGGTATTAAAATGAGAGATTCTGACCCTGGTGATACAGCAGGAAAAGAATCGCTCAGTTTAATTGTGAGGCCTGTATCAGTGCCTTGTTTAATTCCATACATTTTATTGTATTCATTTGATTATACCATGCCATAACATATAATACATTTTATAGTCTGTAAAATAGACTCTAAACAGTGTTCACATTTTTATGTTAAAAAACTTACTTTTCTCTCATGAATAAGAGCTGAATGTGGACCAAAAAAAAAACACTTTTTAGGTTAAAAAAAAACTATAAATGAGACAATTATTCTCAAGGGAAATATTCCAGTCTTATTTAATGATAGTCTTTTATATTTGTGTATTACTTTAATAAGTGTGTCTGATTTTGTTGTGGGTGAGAGAGAGAGAGGCTTACTTATGGGATAACACCTGACAAACCCACAAAACAAATAACAAACTAACAAACCTTCACTTTAATATTTAGACTTTCACAGCATGCTAAAACACAGATAATCAATTTTTGGAAGAACAAAGTTTACTTCTGTGATTTCTGCTTTTAGGCATGGTAACAAAACTAAACAAAACAAAACAAAACCACATGCATAATATTTAAAGTGCACAGATTTGGCCTTATTATTAATTCTAAGGTTCTTCTATCGAGTTTAGTTTAATTTAGATATTTCCTCTCATGGCATAAAAATGCATAAAAGGCTCATAAAAACCAGAGGGTTGTTACTTTCTCTCCTGAAGTTAATAGAAGTCATTGTTATTTGAGAGTAAAAAACAAAATAAGACTACCACGATGACCCTCAGTGGAGGGTTACGTTTGTTTAATCCACCTGTTTAATCTCTAACCCCCACTCACTGACCTCCCTCTGTGCTCTCCTCACCTCCGCCGCTTGCTGCCTCCTCAGCGCGACCTGCGCTGCCATGACGCGCTGCCGCTCCACCACCAGCAGGCAGCAGGCGCAGCGGCAGTCCCTCCAGCGGCAGAAGCGTTTGTGGCCTTTCAAACACGAGACGACGCCGTGGTTCCGACAGCGCGCGCATTTGGGGCTCCGGGTCATCTTGCGCGCTTTCTGCTGATGGCTCTCTGGAGACAGGGTCACTTTATTCTCTCCTTGTTCCCCGCAGCAGCCGCGCTGCCCGGCACATCCGTCAGGATCTGTCACGTCAATATCTTCTTCGGTTTTTAACACATCAGAGGTTGCTGTTGTGTCCAGCTGCAGGCCTCTTTTCAGCGCAGAGGACATCTATGACTGAGAGCTACGGGAACCCGCTTTACTATCAGAGCAGACTTTAACTCAAACGATGAATAAGAAATATGATACTGCAAATTAAACATTACAAACGCTCTTCGTTTTACGCACCCGTTTTAAAGACATTAAAAAACTGAGAAATACAACTCCAAAAGAGAAAATGTCTCAAGCTTTCCTTACTGAACCAAATTAGCGTCATCAAACAGAAATTAAATATCTGAGAGCGAGACTCCCCGCTTAGAAAGGCCGCGCGCCTCAGCTTTCCAGCAAACTATTTACTATTGAAGCGTCGTGAAGCGTCGTGAAGCGCCCTGTCCACCTCCTCCTCCTGCTGCTGCTGCTGCAGCTACATGACGCTCTTTTCAGGGTGGAAACTTCGCAGCCTACCGCCAGACGTTTGAAATGTTCAGCATCTCTCAGCTGCTCTCTGACGCGGTTTCCAAGGACAAGCGAGTAGAAGACCGGGCCACAATGCCGAGCTCCTGGCGCACGACCCGGGAGCAGGGATTTGGGGAAGCCCGTTTTGAAGCTTAAGGAACTCCCCTTCTGCCTATAAACTCCCCATACCTGCCCTGCCCTGCCCACCTCAGAGCTGCTCTCATCTTTCAGCTTAGAGTCTGGACCTTTGCCAGACCCACATCTCCACTTTTTTTCTCTTGGCTGGAGGATTAAACCGGCCACACCGAAGATTAGTAATGAAATAAAGTGACTTAAACTTAGAGTCCAACAAATTAAAGTCATAATAATGATCATTTTTATAATTAAATTCACTTCATAAACACACAGAGCAGAGCAGCCTTTAAACTTTAAAACATTCACACCCGTAATGTGCCCGTGAGCGCGCATATGTGCAAACTGTATGTTTTACCAGACGGATACAATATGGACTAATTACGCACGCGCCTTGGGGGAGCGAGCTCTAGGGTGGAGAGAGAGAAAGGGAGACGAGGAGAGGGAGAAAGAATCCCATTTCCATATTACCTCGGAGTGATCTTCACACTCATATTTATTCATAATCCTGTTCAATAATTCAATGATTTAATGGCTCTCTTGATGTTTCCAGTGTCACCATTCAGGAGCCTGGGAGAGAATAATCTAAAATCATTAAAATACATAAATATTCACTTTGTTGAGCTTGTGTGCAGAAGTGTGCTTTTCAGCATCAGGATAAAAAAAAGTGACCTATTTCATTTTTATTCTCACCTTTAAAAGAAATTACAATTGAACGCCAATGTCAAGTAAATCGTCAAACTGTTCCAAAAAAAAGTGTGATTTGTTGACAATATTATTTCTGGTAATACAAGTTGTGTAGTTGTAGATTCTGTATGCAGTGAATCTAGTTCAAGGTTGGTGTTACGCTGCACTCAGCTCCTCGGTAACACACACTTAATGCTAATGTGGTGCCAAAAGGCCTGTTTCCTTGAACGTCGACATGGATAAAAACTGCAACAGAGAGGAGAGGTTGCACTGCTGTGGTAAGAAAACTCTGCTCCCTGCTGGTGTAATTCAGTAATTACACCCAGGGCAGTTCCCCCAGTCAGAGCTGACTCAATTAACTGATCTGCATCTTGTCACTTCCCCAGTTTTAAAGTAATTATAAGTTTAGATCCTCACAAAACCAATTAAGGTGGATCTGAAGCTCCTAAAACGCTGGATTTGTTCCACAAGTTCCACTTTTTGCTCCAACAATTACCTAATTTGTTCATGAGTGCACTAACAGCTAAAAAGATATGAAATGTGCACATGGCTGCTGCAAAGTCTGCCTATCCAGAGAGAAATGTCTCTAAAAAGCCTTAACTGTGATGTCAAGAAAAAAAGTGTTTGAATATGTGAGCTTGCAAAATGAATCTGTCATTTTTTATATTTTTAGCAGTCAAGGTTTACTAATATGAGACTTCTTTACCATACTCAAGGTGTAAAATGTGAAATTTCCAATGTAAACACATTGTACAACGCAAGAAAATCCCAAATAAAGTGTTGGAACCAGTTAAAGTCAAGAGTCGTTTACAACCACAATCTCAAAACTGTGTTTAAAATGTTTATCAAAACAGAATCAGGTAGTTTGCGAATCATTTTAACTCTATTTATAATTGAAAATAGTGCAAAGACAACTCATCAAATCATCAAAATGAAAATATCTCATCATTATAGGAAAAGACGCAATGTGCAAGTGTTAAACTTGATGCTAGGTACGTGTTCGATCAAAGTTGGGTCTCTGTCCTCGCTAGTTAAAGCACTATTCATTAGTCACATGATAGGGTATATAAAGGGCTATAAAGTAAAGATAGGAGAGGTCTCATGACTCTGTCAGAGACTGTGTGAGCAAATAGTGCAACAACATCAGAAAAACGTCCACCACCATAAAGCTGCAAAAAATTTAGATTTTATCATCAGAGAGATTTACAGAATCAGTTAAAATCTACTCAAAAGAGTCAAGACCAATCAACCATACCAGACATGACTCTATAGTAAGTAATCACTGCGTGAGCTTAAACCCACATCCAAAACCCATTATTAGTGACTCTTCTGAGCTTTTTTAAGATGGACGAAGCAAATCAAAAAAACATCCTGCAGTCTCAAAAAAAAATCATGGACACCAAGTCCTAGAGGGACCAGCAGCCCTGAGGTATAGCTAGATCACAAATATGGGGAGGCACCATTAATGCTGAGTAGTATATGGGTTTTATATCAATGTTATGGCTCTATAGTAGAGGAGTCCTGGTGCTGAAATGGACTGCCTGCAGCCCGTCCCTGTTACATTTTGAAAATATTTGTGCATCATGAAATAAAAAATACAACAAAGCAGAAATCTAACTGTTGAGCTTAGAGATCTTGAGATGCAGCAAAACAGTAAACACACCAAAGTGCAGACTTCTTAAATCAAATTAAAAATCATTTATTTAAAGATCATTTATTTGACATCCAACTTTAAAGTTTGAAGATTTGATCTGTTGTCTCTGCACCGTTTTCATTTAATATGTGTTTACTTTATTTTCAAACCATAAAGTCCTGTTTTTATTATAACCTTCCTCTGACCCCGACTGTTTTGGAAATGAGACTGTAAAATCATCCTCAGATTGAATATTACAATTTTAATATTATCGCTGATAAAATAAGACTAGAAGGAAAATGTTCTTGTGTGTCTCTAACAATAGATGAAATCCTTTACAGTATAGTAATACGATGATGCTGTGTATGTATTTGGTTCCTTGCTTTAAAGTCAATACTCCTCCTTGTAATGAGCATCTGCTCAAAGATTATATGCTGCTGATACAAATACTCCTTTAAAACCAGGACTATAGGACTCCTGATTTTATTGGGTTGGACTGGAGCCCTCTTTTGTCCATCGGTGAGTCAGTAAACAGGGAGCTTATTTCCAAACAGACCAAATTAACCTTGAAGGGCCTTTAATTATGTCCTCCGTGACTGTAATGTTAAAGATATACTTTTTTGTTGTTGTGTCTCGCACTTACTTTTGTCTTTTCTGTGATTTGCGAAGGGTAATTTAAGCTTATGTACCGGTAAAGTATCATTACTACCATCATTATAGTCAACATCATTATATCTATATGACTTCCTCTCAGCATGTGAGGCTCTCAGGAGGCAAAATCTCAGTGGATGTTGCTCTTGATCTTGGATTCAACCACGAGCAGACGTGTCCTGGGCTGAGTTTCGGCTCGTTAGGGGTTAAAAGTCAGATATCAAAGTGCAGGTAGAAGCTGGAGCCAGCTGAGCCCCAATATGATTATTATGGTGACACACACAACTGTTAGACCAGGACCAAGCAAGGTGTGATACCAGGAAGTAAAAAAATCTTTCTTCTGACGGGGTCTTTGACTATAAACTTGCACATTATGAGGTTTTATTTGTGGATCTTCCTACAAAACCGAGAGGGTGAATTGAAGGACAGTGTTGCTCTTTATACTCCTGGTGAAAAAGCAGCATCCCCAGTGACCTTCTCCGTATCAAAGGGATGAACACAAAGGAAACGTTGCAGTCCATATCAAAGGGAGATCTCCCCTGAGACTCAGACCCCAGGAGCTTTGGTAATAACTGCACCCCAAAACACGGTCCAGAGTTCCCCCTCTACAGCAGATGGTGTCTCGTACACACGATCTTAGAGGGGGGAAAAAGATTTGCTTGGCAGTCAACATAAAGTCAAAACAAACATAAACAGCATTAATATTTGTAAAATGTCAGACAATTATGAACACATCCACCATTTAAAAGGGCAGCACGTAAACAGAATTAACCTGATTTACTGTTAAAATTCAGGCTTTTTATTTGGAAACTGATTCAATTTGACTCATAGAGATAAATACGGTGACATTTAGTACTCCTGTTATCATGGTGCTGCTGAGGTGTCCATCACTGATCGTAAATAGTTGAAAATGCAGGAAATACTGTTATTTATTTATTTTTTATTTTTTTAAAGAAGAGGCTAATAAACACCTGCAGGTACTAAACTAAAGTATCAGCACAATTCTGAATGAACTAGACTCATTAAACAAACAATATGTCCCAGAAACAGACACAGTCCGGTGAGGACTAACTGAGATTTCCATGTTGAGATTGTGAGATTGCAGAGCCGGCCCAAGCCTCAATGGGGCCCTAAGCAAATTTTGATTTTGGGGCCCCCTATTTCTGCCAATAATATTGATTGTTGATCATTCACAAACCTTCACAAATCTCTTTGATTAACATTCCATGACATGCAAACAAACCTTTATCTTGGCGTTTTTTCTCTTCTTCCTCTTTCTTGCTCTGTCTTTTCTCTGCTCCTGAAGGATACGTCCTTTTTTGCGACATTGTTTTTTCCCACCCTCTTGCCCTAACCTGCGCTATGGATGCTCAGTGCACATTTTCACAGCAGACGCCACATAACGGTAGCAGAGCTTTGACATATCGGCAACAAGAATCATAGAACCTACATCAGCAGCAGCACTAAAATGTTTTTACTTTATTTTTTTATTTTTGCAATAATATACAGTATATTTGATAATATAGAAAGCATCACTCATACATGCAAAAAAATGAAAATTATATATATATTTTTTTTGTTTGCTTTTGGGGGGCCCCCTATTGGCCGTGGGGCCCTAAGCAGGCGCTTAGTTTGCTTATGCCTTGGGCAGGC